ACGCGGTGAGACGATACTCCAGATTTCGTGATAAAGGGACGGGGGTCTCATTTCGGGGGGGTCTCTTCCAGGCTATCTTGGAGGGCCTGGGGGGTCTGGGGACGATGTTTTGGAGGGTTCTCCCACGGGGGAGGTCTGAAATGGCTTGTCTTGGAGGGTCCAGACCCCCCTCCCTTTTATTACGAAAGCTGGAAAACCCACCTGACATAACACAGACAGCACTCGAACTGCCACCTCCTGAGCCCGGCGGCTCGAGACAGCAGACCAAGATGACTGGGAGGGGGAAGCCTCCGGGACCCGACGAGGAGGCGAGGCCCAGAGACGAGCGGGGAGGACGAGAGACGAGGCGCAGGACCCCTGTGGCCCGCGTGCCCGTGCCCTCCGTGCCCGCTCCCGCCTGCGCCCCATTTGCAGCACGCCCCGCCCCGGGGGCCGCAGCGCCACGCAGCCCGCGCCAGCGGGGCCCTCTTCTTCCGCGGCGCCCCGCGGCCCGAGGCCCGCGCGGGCTGCAGGCCCGCGCGGGCGCGGAGGGGCCGCGCCCGCGAGGAGAGCTCGCACCTCCCCGTCGGCCCTGGGCAGGCGAGGGCGGGCAGAGCAGGCGCGGAGGAGGGCCCGCAGCTGGTCCCCCAGAGACTGCGCACACACGGCACGAGCAGAACCTCCCGACGGGGTCCGCGCGGATTCCGAGGAGCGGCGCCGGTCTCCCTCCCTGCCGCGCGGAGAGCACCAGAGGCGGCGCCGGAGATGCAACATTGAGCGCCAGTGTATAGCGTGGGGGAAGCGGGTCCTGAGGGAAGCGGGTCCTGCACCCCTTGGCTTCCCCCCAGGACGAGACCTTCATCACGAGCCGTTCTCGGACAGCCCCCGAAGGCCCTCGGAGGGCCCCGAGAGCCCGACAACGGCGAACACAACAACGGCCCCGTGTTGGCACCAAAACAGCACGGGTGCACGAGGAGGGCTAGAAGAGCAACCACGGAAAGACTCAGGGAACAGCGAGCCCCTTCCGAACAAAAAACTGTTCTTGTGTCAGCGCCTTGGCTGTATGGTTACTCAGATTCTCTTACTGACTAATCGCTAAACCGAATCCTTACTCATAAGTCCTTACAGAGGACTCCCTCCCAAAGAAGGCTTACTTATACATGGGTGTGTATGTATGTATGTACAGATATGCACGGAAGAGCAGCAGCAGCAGCAGCAGCAGCGGGAGCAGGAGGCGGTCGAGAAGAGGACGTCGCGGCCGCGCGCCGAGGCCCGGGCCTCCCACTGCTTGGCGCGGCGGGACCTCGGCGCGTCAACGACGGCGGCGCCGCCGCCGACGACGAGGCCGACAGCCAGGACGCCGCAGCCAACGACGACGGCGACGACGCCGCGGGAGGAGCCAGGCGGAGCGAGACGGGCGCGGACGACGACGACGACGACGACGATCGACGACGACACGGGCGCGAAAGGAAGCAGACAGCCTGAGGTAAGCGCGAGGCGAAGCAACGCCGCCTTCAGACCCCTTCAGAGACGTACTGGGGGACCTTAAGAGGCTTCCGCGCGCGGGGGGACCAGCCAAGTCGCATGCTGGCCACTCCTCTGCTCTGCAGGGTTGGGTGTCTGGGGGAGGGTGGAGGATTTGACGAGAGAAAGGAAAAGAGGAGGATGAAGGCGCAGGAGGAGAATACGGGAGGAGGCCTGAGATCGCACTGCAAATTACGAGGCACGACGCCTGCGAGGAGAGGAGGAGGAGTAGGAGGAGGACGAAGAGGACAGGAGGTTGAGGATGAGGATGAGGAGGAGGAGGAGGAGGAGGAGGAGGAGAGGAGGAGGAGGAGGAGGAGGAGGAGGAGGAAGGATGAAGGCGGACTAGAGCCGAGGCGGCCAAGGGGCAATCGTGGCGCGCCCGAGCGCCGCGCCCTGGCGCAACTCTCCGCGCCTCCGTCGCCTTGGCGAACCAGACCTGCGGCTTGCCGCCCCCCCGGTGCGGGGGGTCCCGACCGAGGAGCCATCGCTCCTCCTCCTCCTCCTCCTCCTCCATCCTCCCCCTCCTCCTCCTCCTCCTCCTCCTCCTCCTCCTCCCTGCTCCTGCCCCTCCGATCCCTCATCTTCCTCCTCCATGTCTACTCCTTCTAAGCAGCGCCCCGCCGGCGCACCAATAGACGTGCCCGTAGACAGGGCTGGGCGTTTTGTGTGAAGCTTCCCTGCAGCTTGGCACCCTAAAGCCGAAAGCATTGCATCAGATTCGCGGATGGTGAAACGTCGTTTTCAAGAAAAGAGGCTGCAGTCCTAGCGACGCGAATGTTCGCCCCAACCGCCTGCAACACCTACAAGGATGGAGGACCGGTCGCTGTCAGAGTTGAGCTCTCGCATCAACGCCGCTTGCATTCGTTTGAAACAATTGCGACCACTTCAAGATTAGAGGAGCGCTCGTTCTCAAAATGATAGTATCGCCTTAGCGCCGCGGATATTCGTTCTGACAGTTCGCGACAATTGCACTGATGGATGGCCAATCTTCATCATAATGAAGCTACCGCATTAGCTCCGCACACGCTCAGCTCCGCACACGGTCGTCTTAAAAACTGTACAACTACGAACATGGAGTCCGATGGAGGGGCAGCCGTGAGAAAATTGGGCACTAGCTCGCATTCGCCGCAAAATTTCCACAGCTACGAAATTGGAGGACCAATCATTGTCAAAATGGGACGCTCGGATTGGCGTCGCGTACGTTCGTCTTAGACACTTGTCAGTGCCACAAGGATGGGGGGCCCGTGGTTTTCAAAATGGGGTTCCCGCCTTGACGCCGTCAATAGTTGTTCCAAAAAGCTTGTGACACTTACGCGACTGAGAAACTCGCCATCTTCAAAAAGATGCTCTCGCCCCTGGCGCGCATACTCGTTTCATAAGCGTGCAAAAAATACGCGGGTGGAGGGCTGGCTCATGTTCTAAATAGGGCTCCCGCTTGAGCCTTCGTTCAACTTCAAAACCAGATTGTGGAAATTAGGTGACATCTGTATGGGCGTAAGTCGGTCCTTTCCCAGACAGGGCTCTCGCTGTAGACCTCCTCAGATTTGATGGGCCAGAAATTGAACCTGTCGCACCGGTCGCAGGGATCGGGGGTGGCTCCTTGTTAAAGCGGGGCTTCCGCTGAGCACTTCGTTGAACTTTACAATGAAGCAGTATTCCCGCATCCCTGACACTCGACCCGAGCGATGCCAAGTTACAGCTGTTTTGCAGCATCGCTGGTGCATCCTGCGTTTACTCTGGTCCTCCTTATCCTCCTCTTCCTCAGTCTCCTCCTCCTCCTCCTCCTCCTCGCACGCCCCCCCTCCAGAGACCTCCCGTCAGCACGCGCATGACAGTGGCGTACGCTGGTGGCATACAATCAAGCTGTTACAAGATGAAGCGCCAACTAACTAACGAAGCCCACATTGGCCCCAACAGCGCCTGGATGCACGAGGAGCGCTGCAAGAACGACCATTGAAGGCCCTAAGAGAAAGGTCGGCCACTTCCGAACCCGACCTGTTCATGAACACGAACATATTGACTGCATGCTGGTGGCCCGTGGCTTTCGTCCCCTGATCTACCGCGATGGCACATGTCGCACACAGGGCGCCCTGGGATGGCAACTGTCCGACACAAAAAGGGCCACGCAACAAAAACATACATATCAATTGCATCTACTTTACTCGTTGCTTCAACCGAGCGCGTTCGCCACGGATTCATCGAATGCGCGCGTCGCGTAGGAGCGGCCTTCTGCACCTGCGAGCACGTTTGGAGAGGAACCACGCGGGCCCCAAGAGGGCCACCCAACGCCAAAAGAGAGGCCCGAAGGCCCCCAACCAGGCCCTAATAGACCTACAAAATGACACCAAGAAGCCCCCCGACAACACCCAGAGGTTTTTTAAGCTAAGAGATGTGCGCTTTGTTTTACAGCATGCTTATGTTATTCCCTTCTCCTGTCCGTTCGCCTGGCCATCGTTTCTGGATTGGCTGCTGGGGGCGCGGAATGAGGTAATAGTTGACCTCGTCCAGCCACCTTCTATGGGTCGTCAGAGTGGTGCAAACCTTCCGAAAGCATCTGTGCGACAGGATGTGGGACAAGTCATACGCGCGTTCGGCCACCATAGGGCATGGAGCCCGCGGGAAGGGCCGTGCGCTCGGCACGCGCGGGGAATTGGAAATCCCACATGGTTTCCGGGCGCTGGCTGTGAAGAATAATAGTAATTCCAATTCCCGTTTCCCCTTCGGGAGAGGGTATCGCTTTTCCCCTACCCAGCGCCAGAACACTTCCCCCCTCGCTCGGCGAAGCCTCAAGGGGGCCTCTCGGACACCGCTCGGTGATCTCGTTCCCCTCGCGACGGAGACGCGAGTCCCCGTCGCCGACGAGTCCCCAGGGTAATGGAAATAATAACAGTCGTGATATTCGGATTCAAATGAGGAGCGGCTTGGAGCCTGAACGTTGGCAAAGGCCCATCAAAGGAAACGTAATCTTTTGGCAGAAGTCCATGTCCGCAAGAAGGGGCTTGACCGAAGGCCCACAGGTTGAAACATGTGCGCTGACAGATGTCCACGGATTGAGACATTCGCATCACCCGAGATCGCGCCTTGATCCATGGCTACGGACAGACACCCACGATTCGAAACATGAGTTATGACGTGAAGCCATTAATAGAAACATGAATACTGGCATTGGTCGACAGATTCAAGCAATCGTGTTGGCATGCGCCCACGGTTCAATACATGAACATTCGCAGATACCCGCGGCTTGACACATACGCGGTGACAGAGACCCGCGGTTCGAAACACACTATTTGCCCTGACGAGGCCGGTGTGTCAGGGAAAGTCCGCTGCCGGGACCGCGGGCGTGGGCGTCGTGGGGCTGGCGAGGGTCGCGAAAGGAGGGGCCAACGGGGTCGCGGTGAATGTAGCGGATATGGGGATTGTGGTGATTGCAGGACATGTGGGTGTCATCAGGGTTGTGGAGGTTGTGAGCACTGGGGGGACTCGAGGTTGCGAGGGTTGTGAGGTCCTCCAGGGCCCGAGGATACCAAAATCATCGAGTGTCCTGCAGTCTTCAATTGGTCGATTTTGCCCTTTGCCTCCAACATGGCCCCAGGACGGCCCAAAGCCCCAAGACGGCCCAGAGGGGGGCCCAAGAAGGCCCAAGAGGCCTCTATGACGGCCAAGATGGCCTCCAAGATGGCCCTGAAGCGCCCTAAGAGGGCCCCAAGACGATCCAGAGCGGCCCAAGAGACGGTCCAGAGCGGCCCCCAAGACGGCTCCCGACGGCCCAGGAACGCCCTAAGATGGCCAAAGAGGCCCCGAACAGGCCCCAAAGGCCCCCGAGAGGCCGAAGGAGACCCCCAAGAGGTCTCCAAGAGGTTCCCAGGAAGCTCCCAGGAAACCCCAAGAGTGCTCCACGAGGCTCCCAAGGGGTCTCCTCCTTCTCCTCCTCCTCATCCTCCTTTTCTTCCTCCTTCTCCTCCTCCTCCTCCTCCTTCCATTTCCTTCGTATCCTCATTATCCTCTTCCTCACGTGTTCCCCGAAGGGCTTCCAGAACGGCTGGGGGAACGCGTGGTCCGATAGATTGGTCAAGCTCTAGCCCAACTTTCGGCCACACAAGCGCTTCCAAAAAGGCAAGGGGCGGCGGTGATTCGCCGTATACAAGCGTCTTCGATCCGGTGCCCCCCGTAGCTTGCCACGGGTGCGCGGCGTGGCGGATTTTAGGTAGATCTTGGTCCCTGAATGAACTCCCGATGGGCTTTCGGCCGATCCGGCCGATCGGGCCGGCCTCCCGGAAGGATCCGTAAACTTCCTAGGTCGTCGGCCTTCCCGGTTCAGACGGCCCCAAGATGGCCTCCAAGGCGCTCCAGAAGGACGCGTAAACTTCCCAGGTCACCGGTCTTCCCGCTCCAAGGCGGCCAATATGGTTGAAGATGGCCTCCAAGATCTCTCCAAGACGTCTAAGATGTTCCCACGAGAGTGCAATAGTCCAAGACGGCCCAAGATGCACCCAAGACGGCCCAAGATGGCCCCACCACAAGATATCACAAGACGGCCCGAGCGGCCCCTAATCGGCTTCCGAGGGCCTCCAGAAAAGCACGAAGAGATCTCTCCTCCTCTTTTCTTCCTCCCCCGCGTGTTCCCCGAAGCGTTGCCACCACTCCACAACGGCCAAGGGAGCACATGATCCGACAGCTTGGCCAAGCTCTGCCCACGACGTACGGCCACATAGGCGCCGCCACAAAGGCCGGGGGCGGCGGTGAGTCGCCGTAGGCGTCTTCGGTACGAGAACCTTCGGGGACAACGGTAGCAACGGGCCAGCCAGCGGGGGGGTGGAGAATGGAGAGGGTCAGCTGGGTCCGCTCGCGCCCATTTTCTGCACACTGCGCTGATTGTTTCTTGTATCCGCGGGCTCGTGTCGTAGCGAACCTGGAACGTCAAAAAGATCCCATCGTGTTTGGCGCAGTCGGGAAAGGGGAGCTGCGCACATAGGAGGAGGGGGAGGAGGAGGAGGTGGCGAATGAGCAGGAGGATGAGCAGGAGGAAAAGGAGGATGAGGAAGGAGAAGAAGAACGAGGACGAACAGGAGCAGCGGGAACTAGAGTGGAAGAGGCGGGAGGAGCAGGATGACCAGGGGCAGCCGGAGGAGGGGAAAGGATGGGTGCGTCAGCCATACGGCAGGACTCGGATCCAGAAAAGTGGCTCGCGCTGGGGCGAGAGCGCCATTGTGAACGCTGGGAGCAGCACGCCGATCCTCAGATTCAGGCCAACGCTGCAGCGGGATTGCCAGTGCGAAAGACCGGTAGCACTCGGATTGAGGAAAGCCTGAAGAAGGGCCAAGTGCTAAAAACTATCTCGCGGATCAGGGCCAGGGGAGAGAGAGGAGAGTAGCATTCACATGGTGCAGCAGTGCAGGGATGACCCGCTGGACTGGGAGCAATGGACTGGGAGCAGCAAAGCTGGACTCTCGGGGCTGGAAGGGACGCACACCAGATCGGCAGGTGCACAGGGGCACGCCAACCCCCCCCCCCTGGAGAAACCGAAAGGTACCGATAGCGCTTCTCCTCGGACCTCTCCCGGGGTGCGTTCCGAATTTCGAAGCGAACCCAGCGGTGGCGACAAGGGCCTCCTAGGAGGCCGAAAAGGAGGAAAACGAGGGCAGGGCAGCGATATGGGTACTCCCCGCCGGACCTCGTTCCAGGTGTACGCGAAGTCGATCAGCATCACGGCCTGCACCGTCAGGAAGACCGCGGACGCGGCCGTGGCGGCCGTGCCGAACACGCTCGGGGGGCGCACGGCTTTTGAGAAGGGCGCGGCCGCTAGACAGCCTGGTCTTTCGGGCGCGGCCCAGCCGATCCCTTCCGTGGCAGGCCACTCCCTCGACGAGCCCCACCGCCTCACCTCCCAAGACCCAAACCCCATCGAGTCACGACAAAAATCACGACGGGATTTTTGTTTAGCGATTTTCGGCCTCGGGGCTCTTACTGGACCTGGGGACCGTCAACATGATCGCCCCACGAGCTCGGAAAGGAATTCAGAAACGTGAGGCATGGCTACGTGTTCAAGACGCCTGATTGGGCGACAAGCAGAAGGTATCGATCGTGATGTACCGTGCCACGGATTGTGCTGTACTGTGCTGTGCTGAACTCAGATGTGTCATGCCGCGATGAATTGCGCTATGCTCTATAGTGGAGTGGATCAAGTCGCCCTTGGCATCCAAATCCTGACCGAACTGATCTGGGTCTTAAGCTAAAGCTGCCTGAGCACATAGCTGGCCCAGAGCTGGTTGCAGTCGAAACGTGTGAGACGAACAATCAGCTCAAGCTCAAGATTCGACTCAGTTCCGAAGCGGGACGAGACGACACGTGGCGCAGGGAGCATGGACGCGCCACGGAATGTGCCAGGGGCGCACTGAGGGATGGGTCACGGGACGTGTCAAGGGACGTGGCAAGGGACGCTCCACGGAACAGGCAGGGAAAACGCCAGAGGGCAAGCCAGGAAACGCGACAGAGGACGAACCGGAGGATGCGCCCAGGGGGGAAGGGCATATATGCCGTCCCGCTCAGGGTCGGTGAGAACCAGCGTGCTTTCGCGCTTGTCCCGCTGTGGGTGTTTTCACTCGAGCCCCGATCTGGAGCGTTGGGAACCCATGTGGTTTCACGGCTGTCCCGCTCTGGGGCGATGATGAACCATCGTGTTGTCACGTTTGTCCCGCTCTGGGGCGTTAGGAACCTTCGTGGTTTCAAAATTGTCCCTCTGTGGATTCAGAAACCATCTGTGTTCACGCTTGTCCCGCTCTGAGGCGCTAGGAACCAAAGTGTTTTCACGCTTGTCCCGCCCTGGGGAGTTAGGAACTAACGTGTTTTCACGCCTGGCCCACTCTGGGGCGTTAGAAACCCATGTGTCTTCATGCGTGTCCCGCCCTGGCGTTCGAAACCCATGTGTTTCCACGCTCGTCCCACTCTGAGGCGTCGGGAGCCACATCTTTTCACGCTTGTCCCACTCCGGGGCGTCGGGAGCCCGCGTGTCCCACGCGCTCCTGCATGCCCAAAAGAAAAACACTTGGGCATCCTGGGGCGCCGAAGCCCCACAGGTCTTGCAAACCAAGCGCGGGCGTCTCGAGACATCCTCAAGGAACCTGCGCGCAGGACGCGCCAACCTCGAGCGGGCACGTCATAAGTCAACAGTTGCAGACTTTTTGCAAAATTTGGGGGCCTTTCGATCTCCCGAATTTTCAAAAAAATTCTGCGCAAAACGCTCGGCACCCTGTTTTTCAACAGGGGAAACTGGGATCTGCGGACACCGTTATTTATCAAGGATCCGAGATGGGTGGCACACTTTCCTCGAGTGTGCACGCGCGAAACAATTGTTCAAACATAATGGAATTAGACATGTTTATTCAACGCGTTCCGCCGGTCCTCTTCGAACTTAGCACTGGGCACTACTAAAAGAAAACCATGGGCCGCAGTCATTCCCGGGACAACTTGTCACTATTTTAGGCCTAAATGCCCTTATTTGATATCGGGGCCTTCAGGAAATGACTCGGGATGAAAAACCGTCCCGGGGAATGGGTCGAGACCTCTGGGGGGTCGACGTCATGAAAAAATCATGGCGTCGGCGGTCTGGGGACGTGGGGCAAGTGGCCTGAGAGGTGCACCAGGTTCTGTAGCTACTCACAGGAGCCGCCCATGCCATCTTGCTCGATATTGCGACGCTAGCCGACGTTAGTCGACGTTAGTCGATGTCAGCTCGACGCCAATCGACGCTAATTCGGCGCTTTCGTATCGACTATCGGACGCTAGCGCGCACCAATGCGCTCTGAAGACGGAGTTATGATGACATGCGATGCTCCCGTGAGTTCCTACCGAACGCGAGGGTGAGCAGGAGTGGTAGGTCTGCCAGGGATCGGCCAAGCCGCCTCTGAGAGCGGGAGCGGCACGTGCGAACAGCAGCGGGCGGGCTAGATCGTGGCGACGGCAAGGGGGGACAAGTTCGAGACCATGGACAACGGACCCCGTGAGGGGGATGTAGAGGTCCGGCTCTGTCTGTCAGCATTGCGCGATGAGTCTATGCTTGAGTGGCTATATATGCTCATTGACGGAAGCGATGGTTAGAAAATGCGATGCCACATGGACCACTCTGCGGTCGATCCTTTCACGACTAGCTCTGACATACGCATGTGAGAATACGTGCAGGCCAACGCTTATCATTGCGATCGAAGTATCACCTTAGATTTGTTTGTCACTAGGATGTGATGCATATCATGATGTTGGCACTGCCTTGAAATAGGGTTGGTAGATTACCCGTTGATCGAATTGCCCTCGTTTCGCCCCTACTTCAATAAAAAACGGGGTCAACATTCCGGGGTTGGTCCCAGATGCGTAACGGTTGACACCGCATCCGCTGCTGCGGGGCACCAAGGGTGCCGCGTGCGCCTTGGTTCGATCATGGCGATCATGCGTTGCCCCGCTTCGCTCTTGAGCGTCCACCCTCTTCCTGATTGTATGTGGCACTCGTAAGAGCACAATCCTCGCAGAACGCTGAGGCTATCATCCGCTCGCCTCACAAAACACTAGCTGGGAAAGGGGCATGTTTTTCCTATGCGTGCTGGAGGCGCCCGAGCGAATGGGAAGGAGAAGATGAGGAGGACGAGGCTCACTGGGAGCGTGCGTGTTCCAACTCGATGGATCCTGTGTTAGTATTGTCCCGCGCGCGACGCAACTCACTGGATGCGGACGCTGCGCAGTCCCCCCAAGCGAAGCGACCACGCCGCATGAATCAGACATCCGACGATGTGGGATATTTGTCCCCCACCTGCGAGCCCCGAAGGGCTCGCCCTCTCCACAGGGGGCAATTTTCTCGTCCCGGAGTCATGTTTGATGGTCATGGGGCCCGTGCCTGGAAACGCAAGTCAGGGAAAACTGCCCAGATTGAACAAGTCAATCCACCCCACGCACGGGCGGACGGGCCACCCCATCAGGCGAGCCTGTCCCACTACGGGGAAGGATGGAAAAGCACCGTGGCGCTACTCTATGCATCCTGTAAAACTCGGACTCCCATCTTCGCCATGCCAGGGCGTCACGAGCATATTCAAACCAATCCAACGGCGTGGCGGACATCCCATGAGAACGCAACACATCACAGATTTCGTCACACCATCTCCTCTTCGGCCGGAGTGGCCGTCTGGCCTTCTGGCGCGCATGGTCCCTAGGATCCCATGTCGCTGCTCTGCAAGCCCAACGGTCGACGGGCAGTTGCGCAACTCGCGACGCAAACTTCTAGACTCTGCGGCGCCACGCAGAAAACCAGTCGTCGACGCCCACGGCTCGAAATGTTCGCCACCCTCGCCAATCTCGGGACACATGCACTGAGTTCCCATGACCGTCGATGACACAGTCAGGGCGGGCGATGAGGATGTTGCTGGAACAGAAGACGATGTATTTCCTGCGTCCATTTGCCTGCGGCTCCGGCCAGCCCCGAGGATCACTCGCAACATTCTTCTCTGGGTCCGCCGTACTTTGTTTTTCGGCGTCTTCGTCAACCATTAACTCGAAGAGCCGTGAAATAATGTGGACGTAAGGACGCTTCCAAACAAACGCAAACGGCTTGTCAACGAATTACCATGTTTGTTCAATAACCCACCTTTGCGCAACACAAATGATTTCCTTCCAAGCCTGTCGGAATCCATGCTCAACATCAATCTCTGCCGGCTCGTTGAATGCTAACGACCTTCCCAAATACTTAACATCCACTCCTCCCTGGAGCTGACGGAACGCGACTGGCGTCCTGAGGATCTCGTTCGGCACGAAGAGCAGCACGAAGCCGATCAGAAGCACCGCCTCGCACTTCGGTGGGGGAGTCGGCGTCGTCGGACACAGCTGGCTGCGAGCAGCAGCACTCCCGGGGAGGTTGCGGGATCCCCGGAGCAAGAGCGGCCTTCCAGATCGAACCGAAGCGCCTCGATCCTCCCCCTCTCAACTCCCGTTTTCGCTCTCCGCCACCTCCTCGCCCTTTCCCTTCCTCTCTCATCCGTCCTCTCCTCCTCCTCCTCCTCCTCCTCCTCCTCCTCCTCCTCCTCCTCCTCGTCCTCTACCCGCGCCCTCCCTCCATCTCCACATCCGCGTCCACCCTCCGCCTGGGTCGGACGACAGAGGGGAGTGCAGCGGAGGGTGGCTTGGCGAATCAGCTCGACCAACTGCTCTTCTCCGCGTCTCCCGTCGCTACAGGCGGCACGCAAGGCGTCGGGGCAGGAGCCGGCTGCACACGGCAAATTTCGGACTCCCCGCCCCCCCCCTTCCTCCCCTCCCAACCCTCCCTCCCTCGCCCTCGCCCGTTGCATGCCCTCCGTGAGACTGTGTTATCATCCGCCACCCAGCGCTGGTTTGTGTACTGCATCCTTGTACTGGCGCGCTTCCAACCTCGTCCGTTTCAATGTTTTCATTTCTCTTGGCCTTCATTTCAAGCAATGTCATAATTACCCGTGCGCCGTGTAGGCGCGGCTTCTCGCGTGCGTGCGTGCGCCCCCCCACCCCGCTGGCCATCCGACGTTTTTTGTCTCGCAACGTGGTTCCCCATACGTCTGGACCCCTTCCCGGGGACCGGCTTCTCATCCCGCGCAGTCTTTGAACGGCCCCGGCCCCCTGGACCTGGTAAGGGCCCACGGAGGCCGACGATTGACAGAAACCTTCTGGTGATATTAGTTGTTCCGAAGCGGGCTGGGCCTTTCTAGATTCTCCCCTGGTAGGGCTTCTGGGCTGCGCACAGACAGCCCCCCGAGTTGGTCCCATCTGGCCCCAACAGGCCCCCCGAGGAGAAGTCCCAGCTGGCCTCAACAGGCCCCCTGAGTAGTCCAGAGCGGTCTCAACATCTCAACTGTGGGGCGCGTGGGCGCCGCCGGAAGCGCCGCTGGGGTGCTGAGACCGCCCCGGGCTACTCGAAAACCTTTTGAGGTCACCTGGGACAACCAAGGGGTCGTCTCTGCGCATCCCGAAGCTGTACCATTTCCCCCCCCCTTCCCTCGCGCCCGCCCCCCTCGCGCCCGCCCGGGCCCCTCCGCTCGCCCCGCGGCGCAGGCCGAGGCCGAGGGGTGGGAGGCCACCGCGGCTGGAAGAGCGCAGCCGCGGCCGGCAGGTTGGGGAGTCGGGGGTGGGGGGCGATATTCAGGAGGGAACAAAAAACACACAGACACAATTAATCGTCGATTGCCCAGAAAGTGTAGGAAAATATGGGAAGTGGGGGGGAAGACAAAAACCCAGAAAATATGGGAAAATATGGGGGATCCTTTTATTTGTGTGTATTTATTTGTGTGTCCCAGGGCCCCTTCAGATATTGCTGGAAGGGGGGGCCCGCCAAGGGGCGCCATGTCTCCGGAGCCCTGGGTGAGAGGGCGGCTGGCGAGGGCCAGGCTCCTGGCCCCACGTCGGGGGGGTGGGCGGCGGAGGGGCGGCGACAACAGCCGCATGCCAGCCCAGAGGGGGGAGGGAAGGGGGAGGCATCGTGGGACTCGGAGTGTGCTCCCATCCCACATGGTATGCCTCGGCGACCCTGTTGGCGGTCTTTGGGATGTCGAGGATTTGGCCGCACGCGGCCACTGCCGCGCTCGTGCCCGGAACGCACGGCAGCGGCCAGCGCGGCGGCGGCACCGCGGAGGGCCAGCGAGACTGCCTCGGTGACTTCGGACTGCGCGGGGACTCGCAGGCCGATGCGCGGGCCCTTCTGACCTGGACTGCGGCGCACCCCAACGGCCTTTAACTTGACTGAATCAATATAGGCCGTGGCGAGATTTGGGCCAGGGCCCGGGCACCAGATGCAGTCGCACTTCTCTGCGGTGTCTGGCAGCGGGGTGCCTCGGCCAGTGGGGGTGTCGAAGGTGGCCCCTCGCTGACCAGACGCGCTGAACACGTCGTGAACCTGGGCAGGCTCGACGCCGAAGGTGGTCGACAAGCTGCGCGCTTGCTCGCCTGAGCCCCGTGGCGGCACAAGGACTCGTGCGGCTCGGTAAAGGCCGCGCGCGGGAAGAGTTGACCCCGCAGAAGGTCAAAACTTTGTTGGGGCTCTGCGTCTAGCGCCAGCTTCCTGGGGTCGGTTTTGGCTTCGTGGTGCCGCTGCATGGCTCGGTGCTGGGCAGAGCTATCGCCTGAGCCAGGCTTACGCTGCCCTTTGATTGGGGCTCCGCCTGCTGACTGCTGGGTGAACAGTTCAATGAGGGTTCCGTCGGTTGCGGCGGTGGCTTCATCTTCCCAGGTGGTACCACGGACCCACGTAACTTGCAGCGCTGGATCCAGCTCCACTTCCATGGCGGTCTGGGCGCATTGGACGTCTGCGCGCCCGAACTGGTATATTGTAGCATCGAGGTGAGTGGGTTGCGGTCGAGTGGATTGTGGCGTCCGCCGAATGACGGGGACCTTGCAATCGTGACCTGTGTATCGGGGGTCCTCGGGGCCAAGAACGACCACGGCGAGGGGGTCGTCTTGGCGTTGGAGCGCAATCAGGAAGTCCGGTGCGTCTTCGGCCGTGCACAAAGAGACTGGGCTCTTGTACACGGTTGTATCCGCGTCCGTGTCTACTGCCGGCTCGGAAACCTTGGTGACTGGAACATCCCAATGGCTCGCATCTAGGGGGTAGCATGGGGTAAGGACCGAGGCCTTGGGCGGCTGCGGCTGAGCCTCATCGCCCGTGGCGTTTTTGGTCCGGGTGCGCTCGTAGTGGAGGCGGGCCCAGGAAACCTTCTGGGTAGCGCGCAGGCGGTGGAGTGCGTGTCGGAAGTCTTCTGGAGAACCACGGTGGGTAGTCCACACCAGCTTCAATGCGTCGCCGGCTTTCGAGGGCAAGCTCCTTGTAGGCGGGCACTGGGCGGTCAATTCCGCCTTGGCGGGGAGCCTCGATGCTTGCATCCTTCCGCGCGAGTTTGCTCTCGGGGTTGGGTGCTGTCCGTCGAGGGCCTCCAGTCGGCTGAGCCGCTGGAAGGTGTGCTGAGGTCGCACGGCGGAGCGAACGCAGAGGGGCCATGTCGCGCGCCGGCGGAAAAGGTGTGGTCGACGTATCAGTTGCGCCCCGAGGGGGCGCGTCAACGGCTCGCAGGCACCCCACTGCCTTGAGCCGAGACTAAGTGAGTGAAAACAGAGAGAAAGAGAGAGAGAGAGAGAGAAAGAGAGAGAGAAAGAGGGAGGGAGAGAAAGAGAGGCCGGCCACGGCCGAGCGGCGGGTCGCGCGCCGGTCGGCGGGTGCCCGGCGAGGCGCCCGCCATGAACTTCGCCACGGATGCCGAGCGGGACGCGCCCTCCACGCACCCGCCGGCGGCCATCGCCAGCAGCGTGAGGAAAACCAGGACGCCAGCGGCCTGCGGGTGGCAGACGTGTTCCGTGCACGCGCGGGCACGGACCAGGGATTCACGGATCTGGCGACTGAGCAGCGGATCCTCGGATGGGGGAGGGTACCCCCACGAAGCGTGAAGCCAATCCCGCCCGATGTTTGGCAAGAGGAGCGTGCCGATTGAGTACAGAAACGGGGCCACCGCTAGTCCACATGTCGCGAATCCAGATTTACGCTTCCTCGATGTTTCACGAAGGCCACGCCCCCAGGAACATGGAGAAGCGGCACCACCACCACCACCAGCGAGAGCATCCAGGAGGGGCCAACAATTCCCAAAGAGAGACCCACGACGACCCCGAGATGGCTCCAGTGAGCCCCAAGACGGCCCAAGGGGGCCCCGAGAGGGTCCCCGACGACACCCAAGGCGGCCGATCGGGGTTCAAGACGGTCCCAGAGGGTTCCAAGAGGGCCTCAAGAGGGCCCCAAGACAGCCCAAGGAGGCCCCAAGAACCCCAAGACTCCAGAGAAGCCCTGAAAATGCCCCCTAGGAGGCCGCCGAGAAGCCGCCAGGAGGGCGCCGAGTGGGTCCCAAGAGGGAGTGGACGAAGAAAAGGAGAAGGACGAGACTGAGAAGGATAAGGATGGAAATGAGGAGCACGAGGAAGAGGACGAGGAAGAAAGGGAGGATATGGAAGCGGGAACGGTGGAAGAGAAAGAAAAGAAATTGAGGCGGATGGGGAGGGAGATGGAGGGAGCAGCGAGGAGAAGAGGAGGAGGAGGAGGAACATGATGAGGAGGAGGAGGAGGAGGCAGAGGAGGAGGAGGAGGAGGAGGAGGGCAAGAGGGAGGAGGAACAGGAGCGAGCGGGCGCGACGCACGGCCCCGACGCGCTCCCGACGCACAGCCCGCAAAAGGAAGGGAACATCACACGAGGACTCAGCCTGGGGAGGGCGGCGTGCGTCGCACCCCGCACGTGGCGGATAAGAGCGAAGGGGGGGGGGCGGCGGCGCGGGAGGGCCGCCCCCAAGGGAAACAACCTCCGAGTGCGGCCCCCGAGGAGCAGGCCCCCGGGTGCAGATCCCAGGCGTGGCCCCCCAGCGCAGCCCCACGACTTGGCCCTCGAGGCCGCCGGCAGGCACGCCGCGAGAGGCACCCGAGGGGCCCCCAGGGGCCCCACGAGAGGCCCACACAGGGGCCCAAAGGAGTGCCCAGGAGGGCCACCGGGCGAACATCCAATTGCTTCCTCAGAAAGCAATGATGAGCCCCTAAGTATAACGAAGTGTCTTGAAGAACACTCCCTCCTCCTCCTCATCCTCCTCCTCCTCCTCGTCCTCTGCGTGGGGACGAAGTGCGGTTGGGCCAGATCGCTAGTTGGCGGCAGCAAGCCCTCGCAGTGAAGTGGCAGATTACGGAGTAATCTTAGCTAGATCCCAAAGGAGGCTAGGTAACGAGGCGAAGGGCTCGTGTGATCGACTCAGTGGGGATCCGAGGCTGGTTCAGGTTCAGGTTCAGGCTCCTCCTCCTCCTCATCCTCCTCGTCCTCGTCCTCGTCCTCCTCCTCCGCCTCCTCCTCATCGTCATCATCATCATCATCATCATCATCATCATCATCATCATCATCATCATCATCATCATCACCACCACCACCACCACCATCATCATCATCATCATCATCATCATCATCATCATCATCAGCATCAGCATCAGCATCAGCATCAGCATCAGCATCAGCATCAGCATCACCCTCTCGGTGGCTGTCCCACCGTCTCCACCCTCTCTCGGCCCCACGTCGCTTGTCCTTCTGCTTAGGGTCTCTTCGGTGGTCAGCGACTGTGGCGGCGCGCCCCACAGATCGCACGTGTGCGTTGCTCAGCTCCCTCCCAGGCCGCAGCACTGAGTGCGTAGTGCTGAGCGGCAGCACAGCCGCTCTCGAAGAGGGCAGAGGGCTCGACTGACCATCCCGAAGACTCCCTCCCCATGAGCCCTGATTCTGTCAAAAAATCATCACCACCATCATCATCAATCCTCCTGATATTCCATTATCTTCCTCCTCCTCCTGAATATTATCCTTCCTTTCTCCGCCTCGTCATCCCTTTTCCTACTCCACATCCCCCTTCTCCGTCACCACCTCCACCTCCTCCTCCTCCTCCTCCTCCTCCTCCTCCTCCTCCTCTTCACCATCATCATCGGCATCAGCATCACCACCATCATCATCGACCATCCTCGTGCTCCTCCCCAGCGTCTCTCATGATGTTTCCCCTCTCTGCCCTGGGCTGGGGAAGTGAGAGAGAGAGAAGCAACAACACAAGATAGAGACACAGAGCGAGAAAGAGAGACATATACATATACACAGGAGAGGAGCCTGCCCGCTGCTGCGAGTGCCAACGAAGCGAGCGGCTCCGCTCCTCTCTGGGCCGGGAGCAGACCTGGTAAGGACAAGTGCCCGAAGTGCTCTTGGTGTGTGAGATCGGCGGTGGGGCGCCCGACTGGGAAAGAAGGCGCCGCGGGCGGCCAGAAAGCGCAGCGCAACTCCATTCTTTGGCGGCGCGCAAAGGGGGGGTGGGGGGGAGGGGGGAAGGCTTCGTAGAAGAAGGCTGCTTCTTAGAAGGCGCCGGCCCTACATCTGCAGATTAAGGCTCGCGCCTTCAAAGAGGCAGGGGTGCTTCTGAGAAGCCTTCCCCCCTCTCCCTACCCCCCCCTGCACGTGGCCGATTTCATTCACCGACAACAGCCAGGAGAAGCATATTGAGAAATCCACTCCGCCTCAGCAGTGCGATCCCAATCGCATGGTCACGGGCAAACGAGCCCAGCGAGACACTTGCCCCGCCGGTCGGAGAACTCACGAACCGCACCGCGATGGGAAGAGCTCGGCGGCAATACTAAGCGGTCGCAGCTGGGACCAGGCAGTGCGACCGTGCGGCGTGCAAGTAAGCCGAGCCGCCTGGAAGTGTAAAGAGAGGAACGGAAGCCGGCGCAAGGCTCCGCGAGGGAGCTGCTGGGAGGGCCGAGGCCCGCTCACATTTTGATGTAATCGTCCCTCAGTTGGTCCCCCCACATTTCTAACATCGCAACCCGTGTCCAGTCGTCGTGGCCAAGGGTGGTCGGCACATGTTGTTCGATGTCGTCAACCCATGTTGTTGTTGTTTGTTGGGCGAGGAGAGATGTCCAGGCGGAGGGAGCCGCTCACGCCACCCGGGGGCCTCAGCCCGGTACACGAGCTGGTCCGAGTAGCACGCCAGCTCGCCTCGGCACGGGGCGGGTCCGCTCGCCGAGCCCGGCGTCGACGACCACGGCCACGACCGCGGCCACGACGACGACGAGGACGACGACGACCACCACCACGACCACGACGATGCCGGCGGTGAGAGCGGCGACGACTGCGGGCATCCTGGGAAAACTGACGACGACCACGACTGCGACCACTCCGAAGCTGCCGAGCTGCATGTCTTCAGCCCTTTCCTGGGCCTCCTGGAGTGCCCTCGTCACCACGGCTGGATTCCAATCGAATTTCTGGAGGCCTTTCTATTGTTCGCGATGACGCCCATTACCAGCCCCGCCCCCCCCCCCCTTAACCCCCCTTCCTGGTCACGTCACGATTCGCGCCGGCGCCACTTGGGAATGTGCCATTCCTCTGCATTCCCAAGTGGCGCTGGCGCGAATCGTGACGTTACCCTCCCCCCCCCCCCGGTCACGCTCGGCATCGCCATGGAATCGAACAAATGCTTCCTGGTCAGCACGCGCCCCAGCTGAAGTCCGGGGAGGTCGACCTTCGAAAGTCTCTCGGGCTCGGCCGCCGCGCGGCTTCCGCTGCCGCTGCTGCCGCAGGAGGGGCCAAGGGGGCAGGGGGGGCAGGCCCGCAAGCGACCCGGCAGCCGTGGGCCGCGCCCGCGCAGCCGCAGATGCCCAGGTCGCCCATGCTGAGAGCCGTCGGTTTGTCGCTGCCCCTTCTACCAGCTTGCGCTCAAGAGGCCGCAGGGCGCCATCTCTGTCTCTGCATGCTCCTCCCCCATCCGCGTCTTCCTTGGCCACCTCATCCGCGTCCACCTCCGCGTCCTGCTCCCCCTCCACCTTAATCCTTCCCATGGTATCCCAGCATCCCTCCTCCCTCCTCCTGTGTCAAACTTCATCGGCACATCCAACCCTTGGCGCCTCCTCTAATCTCAGGTTATGTTCCCTCCTGCCTCCCCTGCCTTCTCTCCATCCTCATCTGCCATCCATCCTCCCTCCTCGCCCATCCCTCGCCATTCATGCTCCTTTGTCCCTCTTCGAGTCTTCCTCGTCGCTGCTCTCTGGTCCACCCGCCTTCTCATGTGCCCTCCCCTCTTCCCTCCGAAGGCTCCTTCCGTACTCCCTCTCTCTCCCTCCCCGTCCTCTCTAAGTGCGTACTCTCGCAGCCTTCCTGCCTGACCCTTACTCCCTCCCCCTCCTCCCTCCCCCTCCTCCCTCCCTCTCCCTCCCTCTCCCTCCCTCCAGCCTCGTCCTCCTTCTGCCCCTCCTCCCCCTTCATCCCCCCTCCCCCTCCCCCCCCCATTCCTCCTCGCCGTCCTCAGTCGGAGCCCTCCCCGCGCCCCTCCCCCACTCCTTTTTCCTGCATGTTCGGAGCGGTCCCGAAGAAGATCAGCAAAACGCGTTTACGAGGGCACTCCAAGAGCGCGCGCCGCTGCTGCGCAGCAGCACGGGACGCGTGCTGCGTGCGCGCGCCGAGTGCCTCTGGTGGGGGGCACCAGCTGCCCACCCGACGCCGATCCGCTTGTGAAAGCTGATGCAGAAAATCTGGTGCTGCGCCTCGGAATAACATCACTTTCGACGCGGGAACTCTGATTGTGTATCTCGGTTCCTGGCGCTTCCGTCTGTGAGCGTCTGAGTGAAGCAATCGCTGCTGGTGGCGTCTGAAGCGATCCCTGGTGGCTCTTCCTTGGAGTGGTCATCGTTTTCTTTTGATCGGGATGAGATGCCTGCCTGCTACATCGGGATTCTCATAGGGCTCTGAAGGTAGAGGGTCTGGGAATGTCTAGGCCGGCATGCTCCTACCTCGCTTGAGATATCCTCACGATCTGCTCTGAAAGCAACAGAGTCCCAACCACGAAACGAGCAGACCGCCTCGGACATCCCCACAATCTGGCAACGAACGTGCGAATGCTGCACCCCCCGCGGGATCCCCTGCGGAAATCTAAAGCAAGTGTCGCGCCCGAGACATCCCCACGATCTGCTATGTAAGCAATGGAGTCCAAGCCACGAAACGAGCAAACCACCTGAGACATCCCCACCATCTGGGCGCGAACGGGGGAGTGTAACACCCCCTGGCCGCTACCCCTTGAGTGCCCAAGTGTCACGCTTGCTATGTCGCGGTGGCCACGGGGCTCTCACGAGAGAGGAGTCTGGGGGGCAAGAACCAGCAAACCGCTGTCGACACGCCCACAATCTGGGCGCGAGCGGGCGAGTGCATCACCCCCTGGCCACTACGCCTTGGGTGCCCAAGTGCCACGCCTGCTATGTCGCGCTGATCTGATCGTGGGGCTCTCAAAGCAAAACAAATATGGGGGGCAAGAGCAGGCACGCCGCTTGAGACATCCAGACATTCTGGGCGCGAGCAGGCGACTGCAATACCCCTCGGCGGTCTCCCCTAAAGTGTTCAAGTGCCGGGCCTGCTTTGTCCCAGCGACCATGGGGCTCTCAAAAGAAAAGAATGAGGGGGGCAAGAACAGGCAACCCGCTTGAGACATTCGAGCTATCCGGGCGAGAACGGGCGACTGCCTGGCGGCTCCCCCTTGAGATGCCCAAGTGCCACGCCTGCTATGGATATTATGTCGAGTTGACCATACTGCGAGTGTGAATGATCATGCTGTGAGTGGCATGTACATAATATAATAAATATGATTTGGCTGGGCATGAGTGGCTCTGACTCTGAGTGGTAGTCAAAGGCCATGCGATCGCTTGTAAATTGTGCTGCGTCCGCGCCCCATGGGCTACAATCCATCGGGAATTCCGCTTGGCCCGCACTCCCAGCGGCACGATCACTAGTAAGTGATGCTGCGTCCGCTCCCCCAAAGCCTCGATCCCTCATAAATTATGCTGCGTCCGCGCTCCCAGTGCCACGACCCCTCGTACATTACGCTGGATTCGCGCTATCCAATGCCAAGACGCTTCGTAAAATACGCTCGATCCCTGGTAAATAACGCAGGTATGCCGAAGGTATGCCGAAGGTACTCTGAAGAAGGTGCGTCGGACACACTCGTTGAAGGTACTCCGAAGGTGCGCTGAAGGTACGCGACTTCCGTATTGCTCTTGATTACAAGAATTATTCAAGGCACGCCGAAGGTACGATGAAGGTACGCGTGTCCAAATCAGGGAAAGTACGCTGAAGGTACGCCGAAGGTAGACAAGTGCGGGGGGGGGGGGCGGGAGATGACCGACCCCCCACTTCTCTCGCGCCCCCAGACCCTCGCTCCCCGAGACCCCGCGGACCCAGAAAGGGGGGCCACATGCGACGGACCCAGAAACGAATCCATCACGACGGGGCAGCAGCGCTCCCAGTCAAGCCCCTTGATCTGCTCCAACAAGCTTGCTTTGCCTCCCCCCTCCCCACCAGAACCCCGCAGAACCAGAAAGGGGCCACGCGCGACGGACCCATCAATGAAACCATGACGACGGGACCGCACTCCCAGGGCCACGACCTCTCGTACATTACGCTGCCGCTGCCTCCGCCCTCCCCGGGCCACGATCCCATGTGAACTGCGATGCGTCCGCACTCCCAGGAACACGATCCCTTGTAAACTACGCTGCGTCCGCGCTCCCACGGCCAGGAGCCCGTTCGAACTGCGCCGGTCTCGAGCTCCCGGTGCCACGAGGCCGGGCCCGCGACCCCCGGGGCAGGGGCCCTCGAAAATCGCGCTGTGCCCGCCACCCCGGGGGCCAGGATCCCGTGAGATTGCAGCAAGGATCCGCGCTCCTCCGCCTCCTCCGCCTCCTCCGCCTCCGCCTCCTCCGCCTCCTCCGCCTCCTCCGCCTCCTCCTCCTCCTCCTCCTCCTCCTCCTCCGCCTCCACCTCCTCCTCCTCCTCCTCCTCCTCCTCCTCCTCCTCCTCCGCCTTCTCCCCCCAGGACCCCTTGCAAATCATGCCGGGCTCGCGCTCGCAGGGGGGTGCTCCCTCGTCAACGACGGGGGGGCCCGGGCCCCAGTGGCAGGCTGCCTGGCAGATCGCGCGGGGCTCGCGCTCCCAGGGCCGGGATCCCTCGTGAACTGCGCGGGGTCCGCGCTCCCAGGGCCGCGATCCCTTTACACTTGCGCTGCGTCCGCGCCCCCAGGGCCAGCATCCCTCGTGAACTGCGTTGCCTCCGCGCCCCCAGGGCCGCGGAGCACCGCACGGGGCTCGCCCAAGACGGCCTCCCCCTCCCCCGAGCAGCAAAGAGTCCTGTGCTGCGTTGGGATCTGCGTGCGGGGGGCGCGGTTCGTCCCCCCCCCTCTCAGGGCCGCGATCCCTCGTCAATGACGCCGTGTCCGCGCCCCCACTGGCAAGATCCCCCGTAACTTCTGCTGTGTCCCGCCCCCCCGGGGCCAGGATCCCTCGCAAATTACGCTGCGTCCGCGCTCCCAGGGCCACGATCCCCATGAAGTTACGCTGCGTCCGCTGTCCCTGGGCCACGATCCAACGTCAACTACGCTGCGTCCGCGCTCCCAAGATCATGACCCCCCTGGTCAATTACACGGGATTCACGCTCCCAAGGCCACGATCCCTCGTAAATTACACGGCGTCTGCGCTCCCAGGGCCACGACCCTCTGTAAATCACGCGAGATTCACGCTCCCAGGGACACGATGTTTTATAGATTACGCGGGGTCCGCGCTGCCAGGGCCGCGATCCCTTTTAAATTGCGTTGTGTCCGCGCCACCAAGGCCAGGATCTGACGTAAATTACGAAGCGTCCGCACCGCCAAGGCCGTGATCTCTCACAAATGATGCCACGTTCGCGATCATGATCCCTGGTAAATGACGGTGCTTCCTCTCTCCCAGAACCATCTGGGTATCCTGGGGCCCCCAGGTTCCTCAAGTTCTGCAAAACAAGCGATTCGCTAGAGACAGCCTCGGGGGTTCGACACGCAGGACGCGCCATCCTCGGGCGGGCACACACAAAGCTTAATTGTTGTAACATGTTCTGACAACTTCCAGGGCCTCCAGACCCTGTTGTTTGTCATGGATTTTGCGCAAAACGCTCCGCACCTTCATTTTTCAAATGAAAACAATGGCCTGCGGACCCCGATACTTATCGTGGATCCGATATGGGGGGCGCACTTTCCTCGAACTGGCACGCGCGAAACGCATTTTTTAACCAGATGAGATGTTACCCAATTATTTGTCGCAAATATTTTCGCTACCCCACCTCAATTAAGACCCAGGGGTAAAGCCTCCAAAAGAAAATTCTGGGCCTAAGCCCATTCTGGGACACAGACTGCGACCATTTAGACTTCGCAATAACCCTGCTTTGCCCGACTGACTCGCGCGATCGCCGAGTCCGCGTCAAAACTGTTCTGACGGGCCCTGGGCCGAAAGCAGCACCCGTGAAGCCGGACCTCGAAGAGGCACGCCGGGATTAAAGGAAGCACGGCGTCGGAAGGCTCGGTTGCGGATGGCGCCCCCTTGACACGAGGCCAAGACGAGGATAAAATCGGGTGAAGATAAATCCGAGGCCTCTGCGACCCGGCGGCTCTGGAGTAGGTCTCGGGCGCCGTCGTCGTCATCGTCATCGTCAACGTCATCGTCATCGTCCTCGACATCGTCGGAACGCTCTGGAACGGACTAATCCTCGTCTTCGCCCCGTCCGACCCCTCCCTGGCCTAGAGAGGCGAATTCTGCCGGCCGCGGGCGGCCGGCAGGCGGCGTGCGCGCGAGAGGCGATCGCCGCGGCGGGCTCTTGGGCCGCCGCGCGGCCCCCGCGAATTTCGGCGCGCCCGGCCCGCCAGGGCGAGAGGGGGAACAGGACGAGGAGAGCAACGAGGACAAGGAGGGAGGGGGAGGAACGACGAGAAGGGGAGGGGAAGGGGAAGAGGACGAGGAGAACAACGAGAACACGGAGGAGAGGGAGGGCGCTGTCACGCTCGGCGTTGGAAAGGTGGCGTGTAGCATCGGTCTCCCAGCAGCTCCGGTGCAGGCTATATCCTATAAAGGTGAGGGATAGCGTCTTCTAAGCGGGCCGTAGGCGTCGCATCGCACGCCATCTTTCCGACGCCAACCGTACGGGGAGGTGGAATTTCCAAGAGGAGGACGAGGGCCGGGACGGGGACAAAGAGGGTGAAAAAAAAGGTGGAGGAATAAGAAAAGGACGAGGAGCAGGGAGGAGGACGAGGAAGAGGAATCCAGGGAGAAGACGAGGAGTAGGACGGGAACGACCAGAAGGACGGCGAAGGCGGGGAGAAGGAGCAGGAGGAGAAGGAGAGGGACAGGGAGGAGCAGGAGGGCGAGGAGCTTGCGGACGAGAACGAGGAGGACGGAGCAGCGGGGGTGCGGGGCGCTCGCGAGCCAATGCGAGCTCAGGCGCCCTTGGAGCGGGTGGAGAGCTTCGGGTTCTTGGCCCCGGACTTGGACTTTGCCTCGCCCGGCGGGGGCAGCCGGGCCGCGAAGTAGCCGCCGGGGGCCATGCCCTCGGGCACGCGGGCGCGGCACCAGTCCGACTCGTCGGCGCCGGGCTCCCTGAACACCACATAGTCGCCGGGCTTGCTGCCCTGCATGGCGGCACGCAGGACCCCAATCACAGAACGGCTGCACGCAAGAGTGACCCTAGGCAACAGTGACCTTGGGTGCGCGGCATGCGGCGCGACAGTGACGGCCAGTGCGCTTGGGAGTGGCCCTCCCGCGCCCCCCCAAAGCCACGCACCGAAGGTCACTCCAGCGAAAAGCCACTCAGTCACGCTTACGTGTAGCCGAATACGACGAGGCCAGGGCAGAGACAAAACCGTACAAGGGCAGATCGGGGATCTCTGAGCGCTGGAGGTTCTGGAGCATGTCTCGGGCGCCGCGGCCTTCTCAGAGCGTCCCTGAGAGCGTCCTAGAACGCTCTGCAAGGACGCATCCCGGTCCGAGCCCCACCCGCAGACACCAGCCTGCTGAAGGCTTGACAAACATTGCTTTCAAGCGGCCAGTCACTTACGATAACACCCCTGCCTTCTGAAAGCCGCCCCAGCTCGTCTGTCCCTCCGCGGCATGCAACCGAGACGATGATTCAGAACGGGTCCACTTGAAGAAACCTTGGCCATCCTTCTGGTGGGATCTTGCGCAACCGCTGGGCCAACCTTCCACGTTCAGCCCGCGGGGATTCGCAGAACAGAACAGAAGAAGCCGCGCCTAGACGGCGCATCGGCACACATTGGCATGGAAAACGAAGGCCAAAACATGTGCAGAAAACTATGCAATATGCACGTGCGCCGGGTCACAGCCACTGAAAATAGACCAGTGCTGGGCGGCGGGGATTCGCAGGGGACTGAGAAGCCGGGCCAGCCTCCTGGAAGCTGCCGACGAAACGCTGGGCCGAGGCGAGGATAAGGGAGGGCCCCTCCAAGACCGGCGCACCTGGGAGCTCCGCAGCCCGACGCTGCTCCCACGCCGCCTGGCTCACCGGGTCTGCCCAGGCGCGCTCCCGTGAGCCGCCAGGGGGCCGCTCCTCCTCCTCCTCCTCCTCCTTCTCCTCCTCCTCCTCCTCCTCCTCCTCCTCAGCAGACCCCTCCGTGCACTCGACCTGTGCGGGCTCTGCACTCGCCCCGCCCCCCTCGCACGGACACCCGACGCCGTGGCTTACGCGCAGCATGGCGGCTCCCCAGAGGTCTGGGCCCCTTTTATAGGGAGCCCACAAAGGACGTACGCGCCCAGCTATGTACATGAACACGGCTCCTCGATTCGCGAGACCCGCCGCGTTATACGAACATTTGTGCAATGCGTGCTCTCGAAACCAGCGTGGATTCATGTACATGTACGTCCTTGTTTCGCTCCTGGTTTTAGGGGGCCGGCTTCTCGTGTCCTGACCCCGAGGCCCCGTGAGGGCCTCGGGAGGCCGAAGACGACTTGAGTGCCGCGCCGAAGCCCAGCGGAGGCTGCCAGACTTTCCAAAGGCCTACCAGGACCTGATCTGTGGCACCTCATGTAGAGGAAAAAGAACTATGCACATACACTGATTCTGGCCAGGCCCATCCTGAGCCCAGGATCGGTGCATACGCCCTCCTACCTTGGCCAGGAAGGCATATGCACCGATCCTGGGTCAAGGATGGGCCTTGCCAGGATCGGTGCATGTGCATAGTTCTCTTCGCCCGATCATGGGGGCCCCCCATGTCATCTTGCTGGCTCTTGCGAACCGACGCGGGTCGCCTGTATCGACGCTGGTCGCCGCTAAATATCGACGCTCATCGACGCTCGATCGGCGCTCTTTCATCGATTGCCAGACGCCAAAGCGTGCTAGTGCACTACACGTCGTTCATTTCTCATCGTGCTCATTTCTAAGTGTACTCGTTTCGAATTGTTCCTGGCCCCCCAGTGGCCAGGAAGAGGCCCAGGATAGAACAATTAGGAATGAAAGGATCCTGGCCCCCCCAAAGATTAAAGAACTCTCGAAGCACTGGAAATGAGCCATGTGTATACAGTACATGCGGGGATTCCGAGACACACAACGCTCCGGTGAGCTGCTGCCGAAAACTACCAGCCGTGGCAGTCCACGGCGAGAGGCTATCGGGCCCGCGCGCGCCGCCGACCTGCGGCACCTGCAGCATCAGCGCGGGCGGGGCGATGTTGAAGGTGTCGCCCGGCTTCAAGCCCTGCTCGGAGGAGGACGGAAAGCCCCCCCCCTGCGGCAAGAGATGTGTGTCGTGTCGCTGAGTTGTTGAGCCCGCGGGCCTGTGGAATGGCCTACTCCTCTATCTGAGCATTTTCTTAGGGTGGAGGGCTCAGGGTGAAATCCATATGGGCTCTTGCACCTCGAGAATCGATCCGTCTTGTGATTCACCGCTTGCAGGTTCAAGCCTCGAGCATCCATCGAAACGGCATTCCAGATTTCACCCTTGGCCCTCCACCCAAAGAAAATGCTCGATCTATTGAAAACGATCTTTGAGCAGACCGTGGAAGGGGGGGCCGGAGAACGGTACAGTCGACCCGTGCAAAAAAAACGATGCGCGGTAAGGATGCAGGGGCCTTGGAAGGCCATGTTGACGTCTTTCGAATGGGGCTGGCCAGCGAAAGTTGCCAGGAATGGGCAGCAGGGGCAAGGATGCAATGGTGACCTTTGGAAGTTGCTCGTACTCACAGTGCGAGAGTGTTTCTTAGTACTTCTCATAGCGGTCCTGGACGGGGTGGCCGGACAACGGTAGTGCTGGGGGCGCGATGGGGCACGTCGGGGCGGGCGTTCGCTTCGTTATAACATCGCACCCCGGGGGGGGGGGGGGGGCTGGGTAGTTACCGTGAGGCGCCAGAGGATAAAACAGGCAGTCTCGCAAGTGCGCAGACCCAGAAAAACATTAGGAGGGAACTCCTGGCAGATCGTCGCTGGAACGACTAAGGGCGATTTAGCCCGATTAGAGGGCCACTTCACAAGACGAGGCAAAATTAAACAAAGGATTCAACCGGGTTGAACCGAACTAAGCGGTATTAGGCCAAATTAACCCAGATCAGCCCACGTTAGTCCGGTAACCGACCGATACTGAACTTAACATCCCAGAAGTTGCATCCCACACAAAATCATCGACCCACGAACCCGTAAAGGAATTTAGAAGCGCGGGGCATTTCAGGACACCTGATCGGGCGACGGGCAATTGCAACGCTGAACGTACCGATCGTGATGTACCGTGCCAAAGATTGTGCTGTGCTGTGCCGTGCTGACATGAGATGCGCCATGCCGCGATGAACTCAGTTGCGCTCGTGAACTAGGTGCTCTGGATCAAGTCGCCCTTGGCAGGCGAATCCTGACCGCCCAGAGCTGGTTGCAGTCGAAACATGCGGGGACGCTCATTCAGCTCGAGACCAAGATCCGACTCAGCTCCGAAACGGGACGAGATGACACGGGGTGCAGGGCGCACGGACGTGCCAGGGAATGTGCCAGGGGCGCACTTGGGGATGCGCCAGGGGAAATGCCAGGGGATGTGGTAAGGGACGCACCACGGAACGGCCAGACAAGCGCCAGGGGACAAGTCAGGGGACGCGACAGAGAACGAGCCAAGGGACGCGCCGAGGGGGAAGGGGCATACGCCGTCCCGCTCTGGGGCGTCAGGAACCCACGAGTTTTCACCATTGTCCTGCTCTGGGGCATTGTGATCTCATGCCATTCCACGCTTGTCCCGCTCTGGGGCGTTGGGAACCCACGTGGTGTCCCGCTTGTCCCGCTCTGGTGCTTCAGGACTCCACGTGCTTTCACGATTGTCCCGCTCTAGAGCATTAGGGAACCACGTGTTTTCACGCTTGTCCCGCCCAGGGGCTTAGGAGACCATGTGTTTTCAAGTGTTCAGGCCACCCAGGAGGGGGGATATTTAACTTACCACGCGGTCGTCTGGGCCCCCCGAAGCGCGGGGGGGGGGGCACAATAGCAAGGACCAATCAATGAATCGGCATCGGATGTGGAATAACTAAAACGTTCTGATGGGGGCCGCCTGGGACGCCTCCTGGGACGCCTCCTGGTACGCCTCCTGTGGCCTCCAGGAACCCATATATGTTTTCACGCTTGTCCCGCACTGGGGCGTTAGGAAAGCAAGCATTTTCTCGCTCGTCCCGCTCTGGGGCGTTACGAAGTCACGTGTTGTCACGCTTGTCCTGCTCTGGGGTGTTAGGAACCCATGGTTTCCTCCTCATCCTACTCCTCCTCCTCCTCCTCCCCCTCCCCCTCCTCCTTCTCCTCCTCCTTCTCCTCCTCCTCGTCCTCCTCGTCCTCCTCGTCCTCCTCCTCCTCCTCCTCCTCCTCCTCCTCCTCCTCCTCCTCCTCCTCTCTTTCCCCCTCCCCATCCCCCTCCCCCTCGCATTCCCCATCCCCCTCCCCCTCCCTCCCCTCCCCTCCTCCCCCCCTCCTCCTCCTCCTCCTCCTCCTCCTTCTCCTCCTCCTCCTCCTCCTGCTCCTCCTGCTCCTCCTCCTCCTCCTCCTCCTCCTCCTCCTCCTCCTCCTCCTCATCCTCTCGAGAACGCTAGCGAAGGCAATCCGCTAATCGACCTCGCAAAGTGGGGTCTGTCAGACCCCGGCCTTCGGCACCGGCACGGCGATCTCCACGCCGTCCGCCCGCTTCAGCCGCACCTGCGCGGGGGGTGGGCCTCTTCCTCCTGCTCCTTCCTTCTTCTCCTCCTCCTCCTCCTCCTCCTCCTCCTCCTCCTCCTCCTCCTCCTCCTCTCCCTTCTCCAATCTCCTCCTCTGGAGGCGCCGCTGCGCCCGCCGCCGAAGCGGAGGAGGGCAAAGCTGGCGAGGAGAACGACGAGGAGGGGCGACGACCAGGAGCACGAGGCCGAGGAGAACAAACGGGGAAAGGGGTAGAGAAGGCATGGGAGGGCGAGGAGGACGAAGGGAAGAGCCAAAAGGAAGATGAGGAGGATCTTGGAGGATGAGAGACGGGTGGGGAGATCACGCGGGAGGACCAGAGCGGCAGAACACGCGGGAGGAGGTACAGCGGCTCAGAATACCAGCAAATGTCGCGTTCTGGGGAGTGTCGCAACACGCGGGGGGGATGTCCAGAAGCTGGGGATTCTCGCGTTCTGGAGGGAGGCGGAACACGCGGAAGGAGGTCCAGAGGCTCAGATTCCTCACAACTGTTGCGTTCCGGGGAAGGCGCAACACGCAAGAGGATGTCCAGAGGCTCAGGATCCTCGCAACCGTCGCGTTGTGAAGGGGCGACACGCGCGAGGGGAGGTCCAGAAACTTAGACTCCTCGCAGCTGTTGCGTTCTGGCGGAGGGGGGGAGGGGGGGAGGGGGGGGGCAACACGCGGGAGGAGGTTCGGAGCTAGCAGCTGTCGCGCTCTGGAGGGGGAGGGGGGGGGGGGGCAACGCGGGAGGAGGTCCAGAGGCTCGGATGGCAGCTGTCGCGTCCTGGGTGGGCGCAGCGTGGGTTGGGCGATGCGTAATGGGGGGGTCATAAATGGGGGGGCGGCGAGCACGAAAGGGGACCTTTTCTGACCCCCCCATTTGTGACCCCCCCATTAAGCCACGCCCAAGTGGGCCCCTTTTCTTCGCCCCCGGGCGAAAGGCAGCGTGAAGAGACCCAGGGGCCCCTGTCGCCCCGGAGAGCGCAGCAAGCCCGCCCCGGAGCGGAACAAGGATGGAAACCCGCGGGCCCCTTTCGCCCCAGAGCGGAACAGACGTGAAAACCCGTGGGCCCCTTTCGCCCCAGAGCGCAGCCAGCGCGAAATGACAGGGGTCCCTTCGCCTCGGCGCGGGGCAGGCGTGAAAAAACGCGGGTCCCTTTCGCCCCAGAGCGGAACAAACGTGAAAACCCGTGGACCCCTTTCGCCCCAGAGCGCGGCAAGCGCGGAATTACACGGGTCCCGTCGCCTCAGCGCGGGGCAGGCGTGAAGAAACGGGGGTCCCTTCCGCCGCAAAGTGCAACAAGCGTCACAACATGTGGGTCCCCTGCAGGAAGCCCCTGGAGGCCTCCCCAGATTATGCATCTAATGCCGATTCGTTGAGTTTGCTCTTCTTCTAGCCCATCCCTCACATGTGGCAGGGGGAGACAGCCCCAGGGTGGACAGGACGCGTGACAACACGTGGGTCACTTTCGGGCTAAAGCGCAGCAAGCGTGAAATCACATGGGTCCCTGTCGCTCCAGAGCGCACGGCGGAACAAGCGTGAAAACACGTGGGTCCCTTTCTCCCCAGGGCGCAGCAAGCGCGAAAGCGCGTGCCCCTTTCGCCCCAGCGCGAAGCATGCGTGAAAACACTGGCGGGGGTCTCCAAACCATATTATTTATCGCGGGTTCTGCAGAAAACGCTCTGCACCCTTGTCTTACGAGGGACAGCGAAAATCAGTGGATCTCGTCATTTATCGCGGATCCGACATGGGGCTTGCACTTTCCTCGAGCGGGGACGCGCGAAACGCATTTTCTTCCACGCGGAATGCAGCTGCACCTCGTTATTCATCCAAGAGAATTCCGCCGGCCTCCCCCAAACATGGCGCCCAAAGACACGCCTACCTACTAAACGAGAACCCTGGGCATAAGCCCTTTCCGGGAAAAATTGCAACGACCAGATCCCAGGGGAGGAGGACACGAGAGGACTGAGACCGGTGCATGGACGCGTTCTGGCGGCCCTCCAGCCTCCGTGCCAGCGCGCGCACCCTTCGGCACCTCGACCTGGAAGTCGGGCTGGGGGGCGAGCCTGAAGCGGACGGTGGTGCCAGGCTTCGCGTCGGGAGGCCCAGCCGCCTCACAGTGCGCGCGACGACGACGACGACGACGACGACGACGACGACGACGACGACGACGACGACCACGACGACGACGACGACGACCACGACCACGACGACGACGACGACGACGACGACGACGACGACGGGGTACAGATTTTTTGACCCCATGGGCAATGACGTTCGGGCCTCTGGACGCCTCCAGAGGCCTCCGAAGGACCTCGCGGGAGGCCCACCCCGGAGGCCTCCCAGGACCCCGGGCGGGCCGCCCCCGCGGCGGCGGCGGCGGCGGCCGCCTCGATGCGCCCGTGCGGGCCGTCCATGGACACCAGCATGCCGGGCTCGTAGTCCTCCGGCAGCTGCACGGCGAGCTCGACGGGGGGCGTGGCGAGGGCCTCGGCCTCGCCCTTGCGGCGCGGCCTGCGCTCGGAGTCCTGCGTGGTCTGGCAGCCGAGGAGGTCCTGCTTGATGAAGTCGCCGCGCTGGACCGCGGCCTTGGGCTCGGGCGCCCGGCGGCGGCAGCACAGGGAGAAGGGGCCCCAGCGGGCCACGGCCTCGCTGCTCTGGATGCGGCGCGCCTCGATCTGCGCGGCCGAGGGGCCCTTCTGCTTCGCGCCCCGCCTCTCGGGGGAACGCAGAACACGCGGCCGCGGGGGAGCACACAGGACTGCCGGAGGTCCCCGCGAAGGTTGGTCTGAAGCGTGACTTGAGCTCATAAACGCAATGTCTTTTTTAACGCAGTTGTTTTTCTTGCACGCGGTGTTGTTTTTTTAAACACAGTGCTTGTGTCTGTTACGCAATGTGTTTAATGCAGTTGTTTTTCTTCGCAGTGGCTTGAACGCTGCGTGTTTAAACACAGTGTCGTTTTACCCAGTTTGTTTCACGCAGTGTTTTCAACGCGGTGTTGTTTCAAAGCAGTGCTTTGTTTACGTAATGTTTCTTACGCGATGGTGTTTGTTGTTTGTTACGCAGTGTGTTTAACGCGGCGCTTTTCAACGCAATGTTATTCTACGCAGTGTGATTTTACGCAGTGGATTAAACGTTGTGTTTTAAACGCAGTGCTTGTTGCTTAATGAGTAATGGTCGTTTTACGCTGTGTGCTGCTTACGCAATGTTGTGTACGCAATGTGTTCTACGCAATGTGTTTTTTCAACGGAGTGTTGTTTTGTTACGCAGTGTTGTTTACGCAGTGCTTGTTTAACGCAGTGTGTGTTTACTCCATGTGTTTACGCAGTGCTGTTTTTTTACGCCGTGGTTTTCTTATACTAGTGTTTCTTGTTACGCAACGTGTTGTTCAAGCAATGCGTTGTCTACGGAGTGTTTTTGATCACGCAGTGTTGTTTTGTTAACGCAGTGTGTCTTACGTGGTTTGTTCAACGCAATGTTTTTATTGAGTGGTGTACGCAGTGTTGTTTCACGCAGTGGTTGTTCCACGCAGTGTTTTTGAACGCAATGAGTTTACGTAGTGCTTTGACAAGGAGTACTTTTAACGATGTGATTTTACGCAGTGGATCAAACGCAGTGTGTTGCTTACGCACTACACAGTGTTTGTTGTGTTACGCGGTGTTTTTTGTTACGCGGTGTTTGTTTGTAATGCAGTGATTTTGTTACGCAGTGCTTTTGTTTAGCCAGTGTTTTCTATGCAATATCTCCTGCGTGGTGTTTTACGCATTGTGTCTTAGCAAGCGCATGTCATCATCGCTCTGGGAGGCGAACACTGCGTAGAAAACACTGCGTAGGTGGGTTCCGAGGTCTGGGCACAGCTTTCGGGTTTCGGTTTTCTGGCCTCGGATTTCGAATTTCGGTTTTCTGGCTTCGGATTTCCAATTTTTGGCTTCCGCGTTTCGGGCCGGCTTTTCGGTTTCGATCCTCTGGCTTCGGATTTTCAATGTTTCGGGTTCCGCGTTTCGGGCTGGCTTTCGGGTGTCGGTTTTCTGGCTTCGCATTTCTATTTTGGGGGATTCCTCGTTTCGGGCCGGCTTTTTTGTTTCGATCCTCCGGCTTCGGATTTTCAATGTTTCGGGTTCCGCGTTTCGGGGTGGCTGTCGGGTTTCGGCCCTCTGGCTTCCGATTTGTTTGTCTCCGCATTTCGGGCCGGCTTTCGGGTTTCGGTGTTCTGGCTTCGGATTTTAGCTTTTCTTTGTTCCGCATTTCAGGCTGGCTTTCGGATTCGATTGTCTGGGATGTTCTGGCTTCGGGCTTCGGTTTGCGGGCTTCGCGTATCGATTTTCAGTTTTGCAACGCCTGGTACAGCGCCAAATAAAGCGCCTAGCACAGCGCCTAATACAGCGCCTAGTACAGCGCCTAGTTCAGCATTCTACGTAGAAATCACGACGTAGATAGCGCTTCGTAGAAAACACCACGTATAAAGCACTACGTAGAAAACACTTCGTAGAAAACACGACGTAGAAAACACTGCGTTGAAAGCACTGCACAGAAAACACTACGTATAAAGCACTACGTAGAAAGCACGGCGAAAAAAAAAACACTACGCAGAAACTACACAGAAAGCACTACTTACAAAAACAAGGCGTAAGAAACACTGCTCAGCTTTGTGAATTCACGTTTGAGACATCGACTTCACGATTAAGAGAACCCTTCGGTCCCCGCAGTCCCAGCGCTCGGCCCCCTCCCCCCTCTCCTGGGTGCCCCTCTCCACAGCGCCGCCCCCGGCTGGGAGGGGGATCCAAGATATCCGCGCGGACCTCTGGGTAATCTTACAACGATTGTGCTGCGCTCGGCTCCTTCTACCCGTCGGAAAAGGAAAGAGTACCCATACCTCTACCCCCTCGCCCGTTTTCCCCTTTTTGGGCCTCCTGGGAAACCCTCGTCGCCACCGCTGGATTCACCTCGAAATTCTGGTCAGAACGCACCCCGGGAGAGGTCCGGGGAGTAGCGGTAGCGGTACCCTCTGCTCTCCCCAACCCGTGCGCCCTCCCGGCCACGGCCTGGCCAGGCAGGCTTTCGCATGTGCGCAGTGGGTTATCACATTGTTCTGGCCTCGGCTTCAGGCCCTGCATCTCGTTCTGCGCGTCCGTCATCGCGTTCTTGACATCCTTCAGGATGCCCATCCTCGTGGCGGCCCTGGTCGGTCTGTGCGGGAATGGCGGTGCACTGCGGGGAGCAGGAGCCGCTTCCAGCCGGGGCAGGAAAATCTGGGCCCAAACGGGTGGCGAGGGTGGTGTGTGTGTGTGTTTGTGCGTGGGTGTGCGTGTGGATGTGGGTGTGGATGTGTGTGTGTGTGTGTGGAGAAGGACATTGTGTGCGCGTGTGTGAACGTGTGTGTGTGTGTGTGTGTTTGTGCGTGCGTGTGTGCGTGCGTGCATGCGTTCGTGTGTGCGTGCGTGCGTGGGTCTGCATGCAATAATGCCACACCGCCAGAGTAGCCACTCTGCCTAGCCGCCGACGCAAAAAGTGTGTGTGAGAGAGAGAGAGACATGTGTGTGCGTGTGTGTGTGAGAGAGAGTGAGTGGGTGGGTGAGTGAGTGAGTGAGTGAGTGAGTGAGTGAGTGAGTGTGTCAGAGTGTGTGTGTGTGTGTTTGCGAGGCAGCGCGCCGTTCCCACGGTGCGTGTGCTGTGGCTGCAGCTGCTGCCGCGGGGGCCTCCCGCCGACTGCCGTCCCACCTCGAGGCAGGCCGGCGGCCAGGCGCTGCACGCGCGGGCGCCCAGGCCGGGGGGGGGTCCTTCCACTCCGTGAGCTCGGCGCCGCGCGCGCAAGAGGCGAGGAGGACGAAGAGGACGACGAGAAGGACGAGGAGGTCGGCTGGTGCCAAAGAGTGTGCGTCGGGCGAGGCCAGGCCACGCGGAGCAGCAGGCAGCTGCGCGGGGGGAGCGCAAAAGAGAGGGAAGGGAGACCAGAGGAGGCAGGAAGTCGTCACGACTGCTTCCTGACGACGGCCCCTTGGGGCTGCTCGGCCCCTTTCCCATGAGAGAAGCCTGTCACGGGACCCGCCACGAGCCTCCAGAAGTTCAAACTGATTGAAAGCCGACCCTCTCGATTGTTCTCCGTGGCGCCCGAACTGAAGGTCCCCTTCTGCCCTCCATCCCTCTCCCCCTCCTCCGTCCCTCTTCGACTCTTCCCTTCACGCCTCATCGGTCGACCTCGCTTGGGCCGACGCCAACCGGCCCAGCCGTGGCTCCCACAGCTGCGAGATAGCCAGGGGCAGAAGCGGGCGGAGGACGACGAGGAGGAGCAGATCGAGGGGACGAGGAGGACAAGGAGAGAGCGCAGGGGGAGGAGGAGCAGGTGCAGCAGAGGGACCCGGGACGAGGAGAAGCAGGGCGAGGACGAGGGCGACCAGAGACGGCGAGGAGGAGAAGCAGGGAGGAGGGCGAGGGGAACAAGAGAAGGAGGCCGAGGCGCGGAGGACGAGAGGACGGGCGAGGACGACAAGGTCCTCCTCCTCCTCCTCCTCCTCCTCCTCCTCCTCCTCCTCCTCCTCCTCCTCCTCCGCCTCCTCCTCCTCCTCCTCCCCCTCCTCCTCCTCCTCCTCCTCCTCCTCCTCCTACGAAGAGGGCGAGAACGCTGGGGGGACCGACTGAGGGCCGGGGAGGGGCGTCCCCGAGCAAAGTGGACCGACTGCCGCCCGCGCGTCCTCACGGAGCCCAGCTTGTCGCAGGTCCACGGCAGCCAGTGCGACGGCGTCGCCGCCGCGACGGCCGCGAGGGCGGCCGTGAACGCCTGGGGCTTTCCCCGGAAGGGGGGCGTCGGCGGGCTATGGCTCGGAGACCCACGCCTCCCTGGAAAAGTAACGCCGCGTTGGTTTCAATGTCTTGATCTCCGCCACCCTCTCCCCACTCCTAGGGAGCCCCTGAGCTCAATGCTGAGCCAGCCGCGACCGACTGTGGACAACACTCGGATCGCGCGGCGCCCCGCGCGAACCTTGACGGACCGCGCACGAGAGTTGCACCACAGCCGAACATGTGATAAAGAACCTCATGATTTAAGAAACCTGGGCCAGGTTCCCAGAAGTTGCTTCAAACAAGCCTGGGCAAACGTTTGGATTCACAATGGAGGGACAAGCGTGCTTGGGAAACTGGGCCAGCTTTCCAGCAAATTGGTTAAGAAACGTTGGCACAACTTTTCGGGAGGAGGTGTCTTAATCATATGCTCAGCCGTACTTTTCGAAGGTACTTTAGGACCTCTTGGAAGAGGGAGGGCTGCGGGGACTCGGGGGGGGGGGGGGGGACGATGAGGGAAAAGGGAGGACACGCACGAGGATAGGGAGGAACCAGGGGGGGAGGACGGGGCGGGGGGGGAACAGGGAGGACGAGGAGGAGGGGGAGTGGGAAGGGCACGAGGGGAGCGGGGAGGATTAGAAAGGGAATAATGAAAAGGCGCACGGGAAGGAGAAACATCAGGATTAGGACAAGGAGAAAAATATGAGTAGGAGGGGACGGAACAATATGGGAAACATGATGGGGAGGGGATGAGGGATTCGAAACGCATCACGCATCAAGACTATTTTCGAATCGACACAAACTCGCAGTTACATGCACCCTCGCATGAAGCCGGCCCCTCGCACCGAGCCACACGTGGGCGAGTAGGATAGCTCACAGCGCTACAAATACCACTCAACAGGACACCACGGGACACCACAGGACACCACGGGACACCACGGGACACCGCGGCACACCACGGGACACCGCGGTACACCGAGGGCCACCGCCGGACGGACGGACGGACGGGGGAGAACCATTTGTCTTGACTTCGCCCTAGCAATGGCGGACACCACAAGACACCACGGGACACCGCGGGACACCGAGGGCCACCGCCGGACGGACGGACGGATGGGGGAGAATCATTTGTCTTGACTTTGCCCTAGCAACGGCGGGTTCATTCCTCTCGCGCGCCCACGCAGCTTCGCCTCTCCCGCACGCACGACACGAACAAAACGAAACGATTTCCCGGTTGGGGGTCTCCGTCCTACTGCGATCTCACCCCCAAACCTCCGACAGGGGCGGAAAGGGTAAGAATCTGACGAGGGAGGGAATGAGGAGGATCAATAGGAGGACGACCAGGGCGATCAGGATTGCATGACATGGGGCGGAGAGACAGGACGAGGGACAGTTGCCATGAAAACAACAGGGGGGGGCGTGGGACACCTGGAATAATAAAGGCGGGGGTAATGGGGGCAAGCGTAAGGAGAAGGGTGAGGAGAAGGAGTAGGGACAGGAGGAGTGGGAGGCGGTGCGAAAAAACAGAAGGGGGAGGAGACGGATGAGGAGCACAGGGGAGGAGGAAGAGGAGGAGGAGGAGCAGGAGGAGGAGGCTGATGAGGAGGATGAAGAAGGATCAGCCGCGCCCTCGACATCCTCAGCCCAGCCCCGCGCACGAGGGTGGAATGGTGCGTGGTGGTTACAGAAGAACTCTGGGGACCCGACCTATGCGGTCGTGGACATCGCCATGGCGAGAACATTGGCATGAGCTTGCTGCTAGAACTAACCTGGTGCGCACTGGCGCAGCCAACCATCAATGATATGAACACGCGGGCACGCAAAAGCTGTGCCCCGCACGCGTTAGCAGCTCAGTCCAGGCGCCTCTCCCAATAGTCGCCGCACTCCATCTTTAACAGGGAGCGGGACGCTCCGCCAAGAGGGGTCTCACGGTAGAAGGGTGCCTGCGTCGGCGCAGGAACAAGCGGCGATTTTCGGCCGTGGGGTGAGTGGCAAGGGCCGTGCCATACGGCTGGACGTGCTTGCATCCCTCCACTCGCTCGAAAACACACCAAAACCGATCGCAGAAGACGAATGGTCCCGCACGATGGTACTCGTGCCCCAGGAGCCTGCCCGCGAGTCGCAGGTGGGTGTAGGTGCGTTCCTTCCCCCCCTCTCCGAGACAACCCAAAGACGGTCCACCTCCACGTTCCCCGTGCAAGGGCGGCGCTCCAGGGCGTGCTGATATTCCTGGGGCATGGCATAGCGACAGCAGACAATGCAGCACCAGGCACCGCGACTTGAAACAAGGGCGTGCGCCCTGGCATACGTGGAAGAATGGGGGCGAGGAGAGATGGAGAGATAACCTAGAAGGGGGAGGAAGGGGACGAGGCGGAGGGGTCAGGGCGACCGCGGGTCGAGGAGGTCATCGGCGCCCGCGTGGGGCTACCGATGTGTGGTTGGCACAGAAGCCTCGCGAGGGAACGACACGGAGGGCGCCACGATCCCTGCCGCCATCTCTATCTTTTTTTTGTTCTCTCTCTCTCTCTCTCTATATATATATATATCCCTCTCTCTCTCTCCATATCTGTCGTCCAGCCTTTGTTCCTCATGGTCCTCCTCCGGACGTTGCTCCTCCTCCTCCCCCTCCCTCTCCCGCCCACTCCCCCTTACTCCCTCCTCCTCCTCCTTCTCCGCCTCTTCCTCGAAAGTTGTTCCAGTTCATGCTTTGCGCTGCACGAAACGCAATCATCGTCGAGCTCCCGATCCGCCCCCTGGAGAAGGACAGCCCCACGTCGGAGAACACCAAGCGTTGTATTCCAGCCACACGTGGGAGACTTCGTCTCGCCTTCTCCTCCTCCGAAGCACCACCGAAGAAACAGCCAAGCATCGTCGCCTTGCTGCTTCCCTTTCCATGCTCCTGCTGCTGCCCCTCATCCTCTCCCTCCGCCCCGCGCAGAGAGGCACGGTCTGTCCCTTGAGCCGCCCCCCCGTTGCGAGCGGTTGCACGACGGTGTAGAGCAGCGCGACGACTGTTTTGCCGATCGCCAACGCATCCTCATGTTTCCTCTTCCTGCCTCCCTACTTCCCCAATGTCTTGCGGCCGGACGTGCCCGCTGGGCCCGAAGACCGCCCGCGAACAGGGTCCCGCGGTCGCCCAGCGCAGCCCCCCCGTCCCTGCCTGATATATATATATATATATATATATAGGTGTGTATATATATGTATACACATATATATAATCATGTATAGATAGGTGCTCTAGATGTACATGTATATACATATATATATATACATATATCTACAAGTGGCACGTGTGTTCCCAGGCTCATACCAACAAAAACTGAAAGGGCGTTTGAAGCAGGAAGACACCATGACTGCGGGATCGGAGATGGAGAAGGGGAAGCTGGGGCGGCGCCGCCAGGGCGTGCCTAAGAGAGGGGGAAGAGGCAGGAGGTGAACGCAGAAGAATCTAAGATCGAGTAAGAGCCCCTCCCAAAGGATTGGGGATCGAGCAGGAGGATCGACGAGGGCAATGCCTCTCCGAGGTCAGCGTTGTGAGGATGTCGCAGGCGAAAGTGGCCTGACCACCTCAGCTCAGGGCATCTCGGAACCCAGAGTTGCGAGGATGTCTCAGGCGGAAGTGGCCTGAACACCTGAGTTCAGAGCATCTTGGAACCCAGAGTTGCGAGGATGTCGCAGGCGAAAATGGCCAGACCACCACGGGACAGGGCATATGTCTCAGGCGGAAGTGGCTGAACCACCTTAGTTCAGGGCATCTCGGAACCCAGAGTTGCGTGGATGGCGAAAGTGGCCGGACCTCCATGGGGCAGGACACCTCCGAGGTTGAGAGTTGCGAGGATGTCGCAGGCGAAAATGGCCAGACCACCATGGGGCAGGGCATCTCGGAATCCAGAGTTGCGGGGATGTCTCAGGCGAAAGTGGCTCGACCTCCTTATTTCAGGGCATCTCGGAACCCAGAGTTGCTCTGGGGCATCTCTGGGAGGCCCCAGGAGACCCCAGGAGGCTCCAGGAGGCCCCAAGAGGCTCCAGGAGGCCGCAGGAAGCCCCAGGAGGCCCCAGGAGGTTCCAGGAGACCCCCAGGAGGCTCCGAGGCGGGGTCTGGGGCACCAGAAAGTACAGAAAGCTCCAGGAGGCCCCAGGAGGTTTCAGCAGGCCCCCAGGAGGCTACGAGGCGGGGTCTGGGGTACAAGAAGGTACGTCGGGGCTCGATTTCGGGAGGATGTCTCAAGCGAAACCGCCATTCTCTGAGAATCGGGGTCAAAATTATTGTAATTAAAATATGCTTTCGAAAAACTGATGTGAAGACATTGAAATTCCAATGTGTATTTGGATCCTGACGTCACGATCTGTGTGAGGGGTGCCACCGATTTTCAACATTTCGAGGATGTCCCTAGCGAAACGGCCAGAAAAATCGCGAACGACGCGGTGCGTACGCATTAATCGCCTCTGAGCTCTACTCCCTCGGAGAGGTGCGTATGATAATATATATATATATATGTATATAAATAGATTCCTCCCGCTCCAGCGCTTCATGGTCAATTTCATCCTCCCACACTTCTCAGCTTCCCTTTTCTCCTATCGTCTTCACCCGCCTACTCCCCCTCCGCCTCCGCCCAGGCCTGCGCTCCTCTTTCCCCCTCAGCCCTTCCCCCTCAGCCCTTCCCCATTTGCATTCTCCATTGCCTTCTGCTCATCTTTACGCTTCTCCTCATCCTCCCCATCCTCCTCATGGCCTTGCTGCACCTAATCAAACTCGGCCTCCTTCTGCTCCTCCTCCTCCTCCTCCTCCTCCTCCTCCTCTTCCTCCTCCTCCCCCATCCCCTTACACATAATTCCTCACTGTCGCATCTGCAAACGTGTCAGTAGGGAAGGCTGGGCGTTTCGCCTGTGGCTCCCCCACCATGCACGACACTGAAGCTTGAAGCTTGCAACATACTCAAGGATGGAGAACAGTTCGTTTCCAAACTGTGGCGCTCGCCTGCGCCCCGCGCACATTGGTTCTCGACTCTGCAACGCGTTCAAGGATGGAGGGCAGGCGGTTCTCAAAAAATGGAGTCCTCGCCATAGGCGCCGCGTATGGTCGCCGTGGAAGTGTGCAACAGAGCTTCAAGGGTGGAAGGGCGAGTGGTTTTCGAAAAGCTGTGTTCGCCTTCGCGACTCGCACTTTTTGGGCGCCCGAGTTATCCGGGGTAACTCGGGTCCGGGGTAACTCGGGTTTGGATTCCCGGAAAAGGAACCCGAGTTATCCCCGACCCGAGTTACCCCTGCTGATTCGGGGCTCTGAACTTTCGTCTTGAAAGCTCGCACCAGCTTCCAGCATGGAGGGCTGGTTATGTTCAAAGTGTGGCTCTCGCTTTAGCGCCGCGCGCATTCGCTTTACACGTGTGCAGCAGATCTTAGGATTCGTGCGGTTAGAGCTCGTGAGGTTAGAGCCCCCGGAAGGATGATCTCGCGCGATATAATATTGCCAGGGCGCAACAGTCACGTTGATCCGAGGCGTTGAAATTTCAGGAACGGTGTTCTAGCACGACTTAGGAATCTTAAAGGTTGTCTGTTATGTGGGGCACTTCCCGCAACAGAAATAATTGGTGTCAGAACCTGTATAGAGGGGATATTGAGAGAGGGTTTACAAAAATCCACCGACCCCCGCTTGCCAGGGGTGAACAGGCGGGTGCAACCTGACCGGACAAGAACGGGAAGCGTCCTTTTGTGTCCTGGGCTTATGAGATGTCCTTCGCTCTTAGTATGCGCTGCGCAAGTATGCCGTGGCGTGCGTGCGCTTGCGCGTGCGCGTGCTTGTGTGGAATATGTGCATGTGCGTCCGTGCGTGGTGGTCTGCGGCGCTGCTGTGTTGTGCCGTGCTGCTCCGCCGTGATCCTGCGGTCTGCGTGAACGTATGTTGCCTCCCTGCGCGTGCGTGTGTGCGTATGTGTGCGTGTGTATGTGTCTGTGTGTGCGTGTGCGTGTGTGTGTGTGCCTGTGTGTGCGTATGCCTGTGTGCGTGTGCCTGCGCGTGCGGCTGTGTATGTTCTGGGTGTTATGCCGTGTTCCTGCGTGTTCTGCCGTGTTCTTATGTGTTCTGCCGTGCTCTTGTGTGTTCTGCCGTGCTCCTGCTTATTCTGCCGTGCTCCTTTGTGTAATCTGCAACGCTCCTGTGTGTTCTGACGAGCTCCTGTGTGTGTTCTGCCGTGCTCCTATGTTTTCTGTGTGTGCTGCCGTGCACCTCGTGCTCCTGCGTGGTTTGCCGTGCTCCTGTGAGTTCAGCCGCACTGCTGCATGTTCTGCCGCGTGCTCGGCCGTGCTCCTTTGTGCTCTGCCGTGCTCCTGTGTGTTCTGCTGGGCTGATTGGTGTGTTCTGCCGAGCTCCTGTGTGTTCTGCCGTGCTCCTATGTATTATGTGTTCTGCCGTGCTCCTATGTATTCTGTGTACCAGGCGCCCAAGAGGCCTCCAACCAGCCCCCAGCATGCCCGCAGAATGACCTAAGAAGCCCAAAGAGGTCTCATCATCCTTCTCCTCACCCTCCATTTTCCTCCCTCGCCTCATCCTTCATTTCCCTCCCTCTCCTCATCCTACTCTTCCTCCCCCACGTGTTACCCGAAGGGCTTCTAAAAAGGGCTGGAGGAATGCGTGGTTCAATAGCATGGCCAAGCTTTGCCCAAACGTTTGGCCACATAGGCGTATCCTGAAAAGCAGTGGGCGGCGGTGATTCACCGTAGGCGTTTTCGATAAATTCCACTTTCACGATCGTCGCAAGCTCTGACTCCTTCTGGGGGTCGGCGGAATGGCGTAAGCCACTTGGTCCTCCTCCTGCGATGGGGTAAAAAGGAAGCCAGCGAGCGAAAAGCGGCGCCATGCGCAGGCCTGTGCAAACGGAGGCACTGGTGTTTTGAGTGCTTTACGGGAAATCGGCCAGCTCGCGATTATCGTCGCGCTCTCGCCGCACTTGGGATGCGGACCTTCAAGACTCGCCTCCGCTTGTGCAACGCCGCCTCGGAAATCTTCCAGACGAGGCGGTTTTCGGCGGGGCAAGGGCTCCCGAGACCAGCAGGCTTGCTGGTCGCGTGCATGGAGTACTTCTTACACAAACAATGGAATCTCGCCGACGGGAGCTCCAGGCTTGGCCGAGATCTCATACAAATTCGACGTCGTGGGAGCCCAAATGGGACTCTCGGGTCGGGCGAAAGGGGGGGATAGCAAAGGGGGGGTTTGAGAATCAGCTCACGTAGCTGATTTCCCCGGCGCCTCCCGGCGCCGGATGGAGCTATGTATCGAGGAATGGGCCCCTCGGTGAGGCCGAAACCAGCTGCATGCAGCAAATTTCGTAACCCCCCCTTTCCCAATCGCCCCCTTTCGCCCGACCCGAGACTCCACACGGGCAAAACGGGGCGGCCGACCCTCGACTCCTCGGCATCCCTCACGGCCGAAGCCGGCCTCGCGCGTCGCCTCTTGCAACGCGGGCATGCGGACGCACTGCCGGCGACTCCTGCCGACCACGACGACTTCGTGGGCGAGCATGCCGGCAGCCACGCGAGAGGCGGGCGGCCTGCACAGGTCGGCCCACGGCTGCCTCGGGGCGGGGCCCGTGCGCGGCACGCGGGCGACCCCACGGAGGAATTGCTTCGTCCTCGCGGGCCGGTCCCCGAGATCGGCGGCGAGGGAGGCGGAGGTGCCGTGGAGGCGAGCTCCTAACTTCGCGGCCTTATCGGCCTGGTCGTGGAGCCGGGCAGCCCACTCCGCTTCGGCGGCGGGCTGCTCGACGACGTGCGATGTTTGCTTGGCCAGGCCTGCGTAAGCCTGGTCCTGCCGAGGGAGGGCCCGCCAAAAGCCCGCGAACGGAGACGTGGGCTTGCACGCTTGGGCCGTCCCACTCCTGGCCCACCCCAGGACCGAAGAGCAATCACCTGTGTACGTGCACGTGCCGTCCAAAACTTCGGCGACCGTGAAAAAAACAGTGGTGCTCGGCGTAGACGGCGGACTGCGGCATCCTGGCGGACGGCAGACGTCTTGGGTTTGCACTGGTCCTATTTCTCCTCCTCCTCTTCCTTTTCGTGGTCTCCCACCTGCACCTTCTACACCTCCCCCTCCTCCTCCTCCTCCTCCTCCTCCTCCTCCTCCTCCTCCTCCTCCTCCTCCTCCTCCTCCTCCTCCTCCCAGGGGGGAGATGAGGAAACGGGAAGTTGTAAGGGGGAACAGGAAGGAGGGAGGCGGAGGAGGAGGAGGAGGAGGAGAAGGAGCAGGAGGAGCAGCAGCAGCAGCAGCAGCAGCAGCAGCAGCAGCGGAAGGAGACACGTACAGAGTAAATGGAGTCGTCCTGTGCGCTGGCGTGGGGAGGCGAGGCAATCCTGGCCCCCGAGGGGCCCCGCCTGCAGCATGACGAGGACGGTCCGAGCCGCCTGTGCGCTGCCCACCTCGACGGCGGGAGGGGGGGGGAAGAATCGATCGCACGGCGGCATGGCCGGGGTCAACGTGCTCGAATGACGGAGGAAGGAGGAGGGAGGGGGAAGGAGAGGGGGAAGGAGGGAGAGGGGGAAGGAGGGAAACGGGGCGGGGGGAAGGACACACGGGAGGAGCATGGAGGAAGGCCCCGCGCAGTGCCTCAGGGAAACGTGTCTTGCCGCCAGGTTGTTTTTTCCTTTTTCGTTTGTCTATGTTTCTTCGTATTGCCATATCCTCGTTTTTGTCCTCCTTTTTTTCTTCCTCCTCCTCCGCCCTCCTCCTCCTCCTCTCTCTGTTCCCTCTCCTCCTTCTCCCCCTTCTCCATTGACTTGTCCTGATGAATAACACCCCCCTGACGCACCCCGTAGCCAATCTGATGGGCGGGCCGGTCATTTCGCCTGAGACCGCCTCGCCATTTAGGATCCTGAAGCTTACCAATCGGCAAGAGGTTCACGGGTCGAGGGCGGGTGGTTCTCAAAATGTGTGTTTTCGCCTTAACGCCGCGCGCACTCGACTGAAGCATTTGCACGAGTTTCACGCATTTTGGGCGAGCCGTTTTCAAAATGTGGCTCTCGCTTTAACGCCGCGCACATTCATTCTAGGCCATTGAAAGAGCTTCACGGACTAACGACACATCGTTTTCAACATGTGGCTCTCGCTGTAGCGTTGCGCACACTCGTCTTAAAACCTTACGAAAGCTTCACGGATTGAGGGCGGCTCCTGTCTCAGATCTTCGACTATTCTGTCGGATATGTCCCTAGGTCTGTTCTTCGGCCAGCCTTGGAATTGATCCTCATACCCTCAATCGACCGCCGCGTGGTACAGTCGCTCCATTCAAGCAACTTTGGGTGCGGAACAACCTTGGCCTGCATCGCGCTCACGATATGTCCTGCCCCGTCCGCGACTTCTCTTCCTTCACCAGGAGGCAAGCCAACCTACCTCGCTTTTGACCACCCTCGCTTTCATCATCTTCCAAACGATACCAAGCTAGGGCCCGCACCCAGTCAGGCCGCTTGACGAGGATGCGCGTGGCATGATTTGGTTTTGCCTGGAAGCGGAAGCTGGGTAGGTAATTCACGCTCTGATTCACTCCTGGATCAACTCCTTTCACCGCTGCGCGTCTCTGCTCGGGCTCGTTGTCATTGCCACACTCGAGCCGCCTCTTCCTCTGCCGCCTCCAACCTCGCGATGTCCGGGCTCCCTCGCTGATTCTCGTTTTTCTTGCCCCGCGGCCCGCGGGCCCTCCTCATCGCGATCCTCGGGGCGTCCTTGGGCGGTCGTCGCGCTGGCCTCTGCGGGGGCCCTCGGAGTCTTCACCGTCGCTTCCTTCTGCCGATCCCTCGCCGCGCCCCTCTTCGCCTGAGCGCGCGCCCCGAGCTCGACGCCCAGCGCCAGCCGCCACGGTTCCGATCCTGCTGCGCCCACTCTGAGTCGGGTCCAGTCCAGACGAGTCTTAGCCCGCGGGCGTACGACGACTCTTTCAGAGGCTACTTGGATGGTATTCTCCCGCGGTGAACTCACCCGGCGCGAGGAGAGCGGGCGGGGGGGTGCCCTTCTCCGCGGCGCTACGCGGGCTCCGCCGCACGGCGGCCCGCCGCCCGCCCACCCGAGGGAAAGAAGAAGGCAGGGTCGGAAAGGGGGGGAAAAGCGCGCGACCTCCGCTCGAGCCCCCAGCGAGGACCGGGGGGGAGAAGCCCAAAATTACGCGGTGCTGCCCGAGCAAAACCAGATTCCCCCGCGGCGAACTCAGCCGACGCGAGGAGAGGGAGCGGCACGGCCACTTCCTGCGGCGCTGCGCGGGCTCCGCCGCGCAGCGGTCCGACGCCCGCAAGAGGGGGGGGAGCAACGGGGCGCCGCCTTGGGGGCGCTCCCTCCGAAAAGCGCGCCGTCCCAGACTGCGCAGAGGCGCGGTGCGCGCCGCGAAGACGGGGGCCTTCCGCGGTCGGGCTCTAGGGGAGGGGCCCCAGGACACACAAATAGACACACACAAATCAAACTATTCCCCACAGTTTCCCATATGTTCTGGGTGTCTGTCTTCCCGCCCACTTCCCATATGTTCCCATATTTTCTGGGAAATCGAGGATTAATTGTGTTTGTGTGTGTGTGTTTCTTTTCCTCCTGATCTAGGTAGGGGAGAAGCCCCCCGGCACGCCAGCGGCGGGTCAAAATCTGCCACCCCGCGCGCAGCGCGACGGGGGCGGGCCAGCAACGGCGTCGCTGGCGGGCCGGGGCTTCCAAAGCGAGCCTCGCGAGGCGACGAAAGGGCGCGGCGCCGCCGGGGAGCTCCCGCAGCCTCGACTGGGCCACCCCTGGTGCGCGTCAACGGCGATGCGGCGCCCCTAACGGCACTGAACTAGCTTGGCCAGTCGACGCAGCGGGAACACGGGGCCCCCTCGGGCCCCGCGCGGCAGCGAGCGCGAGGACGCGCCGTCCACGCGCGACCTGGCCCCGAATGAGCCTTGCAAGGCTCGATGAAGCTCAACTGTTTTTGCACTTGGGCAGGTGCTTAGACAGCGTTCCGCTCCTGTTCGCTCTGCTCAAGCACTCTCGACGCCCGAAGCTGCCTTGCGCGGCTGCCAGGTCGTCCGTGGCTCGATTCCTGCGCAGCCGCAACCGTCCTTTGCTTAGCCTGCAAGCTCCGCGGCCCTTGCGCTGGCTCATGATATTTTTGTTTGGGGGGGAAGGGGGGCGGTGCCATGCTCCGCGTTGCTGTTGCTATCAACTTCGTCGGCGCCACAGACCATGTCCACTACACTCCGTTCCTCGCTGCCTCAACGATGGCATTCGCGCTCCCAGGATGGTCGAGCGCGTGGCCAGACAGAACAACCTGGTCGTCCTCCACAGCCCCCATCAGGCAAGTGCTTCGCTGCCCCGCGGGCATTCTCGGCCTCTGCGCACCGACGGACATCTGGCTCCATCAGGGGAAGGGAAGCGGATCTTCGCTCTGCCCCGAGAGAGAGCCTCGTTCCCGAAGTGCCCCGCGAACCTGCTCGAATTACGGCCCAGGCTCGACGCTGCAATATCGCTCGCAGAAGAAGTCTCTGCGGCGGAAATCGGAGCGGTGCTCTGTGCTCCAATCGCGTCTCGATGGATATGATGAGTTCTTCGGGCACGAACCCCGCGAGTCTCTCGCGCCCCCCAGCCCAGGTGCCCGCGGAAGTCCACGCCCGAGAAGGCTGTCTGCCCCCGCCGGGTAATGCTACTGATCGCCGCTCGACCCCCTGCCCCTAGCAAGCACCTGGCGCTCCTCTGCGCCACCGTTATCCCAATGGCCGTCGTTCCGCCTGCTGGCATTCTGATTTCGCATCTGGCCTGCGTGGATGGTTACTTCCAGCTCCAGCATCGAAGAGAAGTGGCGGGCATAGGGCACCTGTAGGAACATGACACCAGCCGGTGCGAACGGTCTCTGCTGGGTGAGAAGAGCGGCGAAGCCGCCGTCCAATCAGGCAACGCTCTGGCGCTGGAACCTCTCCGACTCGCCTAGATGGTTGTCGTCCACGCGTTTGGTCACCATCGCCAGGTCGCACACCTCGGCCCAGTGGATGGTGCCCGCGTCGTCCAGGAGTCGCCTGAGACTCTCGCATCGGGAGCTCCGTAGAGATGCACAATGAGAGTCCCGTCCTCGCGCATGCGCTTCCAACCGTGCCGAGGAGCTGCATGCAAGAGAACGCCTAGCGCCTGCCAGTCGCCGTCGCTGGTCGCGAACCGCCCGTTCACTCGTCCCCGAGACGTGGCCGATTCGACGCGGCCGTCGAAGAAACTCCCCATCTCGCCCGCCTCCGTCCCTTGCTGATGGCCCATGAGCCGCGTGTCTCTGGCCCAGCAGGGGGATCCTAGCTCCCGCAATCGCTCCTCGCTCAGCTGCTTCGGCAACCTGCCGACCACGATCATCGGTGGCAGAAGTCGGAGTACGGCCTGGCGGCTCCACCCGTCGCCGTGTGCCATCTCTAGATGTCGCAGTATCTGACTGAGCCTCGGGAGCCAAGTTCACGGCGAACAAATGTTGCAAATCTGTCGTTGTCTGAGAGCACAATGTCGCTGCGATGACTTTCGGTCCCATGGGTCGGGAAATGCTCGCGTATTCGAGCGCAGGTAAGGGCGCGCGATTCCGCGCTCCTCGACCGCTGGCCGGCCCAAGCGGGCTGCGGGAATGGTCGACACCGAGCAATGATTCTTGAGGCCATGGTCGGGTCATGGTTCTTGAGGCTGCCGTTAGACACGTAGCTCATGTCCAACCTTGAATCGGATATCATATGTGGCCGACAGTTGGCCCCCCCATGAAAGAACCATCAGCCAGACCACGTGGACCCGCATCACCTCCTTCTGCATGCGGCGAGCGACCGTGCGCTGATAACACTTGAAACACCAGATTCAGCCCGATACTGCACCAAGGTCGTTGCGACTCGGGTGGGCCTGGATCCTGTCTTCCAACTCCGACGGGCATGGGTGACGCCTCTGGTCCAGCTGGGAGATGCCTTGATCGCGCCCGGCGGTCCAGGCAGGTCATTGGACTTGCTAGACCTGGACACCCGGGCGCCCGCGACTCCCGCCGAGGGCCCTCTCGTCTCGCCCTCACGAAGGCAAAGCTCCCGCTCGCCAGTTCCCCGCTGGCCTCCAAGCGCCAAGCGTTGCACTCTGGTCTGACTGCCTACCAGACCACCCCAACCCAACCCGAAGACCCGAATTTCGGGTTGGGGGGGGTATGGGTCCCATATGTGTTTTTTCGATGTTCCCCGACCCCCCCCCACTGGAAGTGGAGGGCAAATTGAGGCCTTCGGGGTTGAGCTGGGGTGGTTTGGTAGGTGGTGATGGCCTCCTCCTCTCTACGCACTGTGCAGCAGGCAAAGCCTTTCCCGGCCAGCGCCACTGCACATCGCAGCGGTGGTGCCCGCGCCGCCCGGGGGGGGCGCCCGCAGCTCGGATTCGGAGGCCTCCCAGGAGATAACCTTCCACTGGCACCTCGCTATGATTCAGTCGAGGCGTTGACCTAAGGAGCCCTAAATAAGGAACGAGGCCCCTTTTTTCCATAAGTTAAACTTCGATTTACCATTGAAAACCTGAGGAAAACCCAGGGCAAACTGTAAAACAATCAAGGAACACCGAGCCCCTTCCCAACGAACAGGGTTCCTTCTTCAGCGCCCCGACTGTAGCGCAGCTCGACTGCACCGCTGGCCACTATCGCGATGTGGCCACCTAGCTTTTCCATCTTCAGGTCGTGCCTGACGCTCACGTCGTGACGGCCATGCCCCCAATTGCTGGCGAGGCACGGCCCCAGACTGACCTTTCCAACTGCACTCGGGGGAAGCGGAACAATTGACTTCCAGCCCTGGAGACCGATAGTATGGTCGCTCACGGTCTGGGCTTTCACGCTTCCAGGCATCAGCTGGAAACGGGTTTGAACCGCCCGTTCGCTTTCTGCACGGCTCAGACAGGCGTCCCAGGGCTCGCCGGAACTGCCACAACGAGCTCGGGAGCGGCAACAAGGTCTGCGCCCGTCGCTGATACGCCTCGGCTGGGAGCGCATCGGCCCGGGCTTCCTGCAGGAAGATCGCAGCGAACGACGCTCCCTGCCAACATGTGGCTCTCGCCTTCGCGCCGCGCGCATTCGTCGTAAGAAACTGCACAGCCTCACTGATTCCCATGGTTAACGTACCAGAAATGCTGTTTGGAACGATTGAGGATTGCCAGGGCGCAGCAGCTACTTTGATTGTCGGTGCTGAAGTCCCAGGTATTGCGTTCTGGTACGATTCGGGGTCGTCAAGAAGCAACAGTCAAATGGATTCGTGAAAATGAAACTCCGAGAATGATGTTTCCGCACGCTTTGGGATCTTCGAACGGTTGTCTCCCAACACGGCACTTCCCTGAGTGGAAATGAATCCTTCAAGGGTCTCATGAAGAAGAGGGAGCTCGGAGGGGGGGTGTTATTCCAACATCGTTGATGAGTCTTGGGTCTGCACTGGTCCTCCTCCTCCTCCCCCTCCTCAAGCTCCCCCTCTTGACAGCGCGTCGTGGATGCGAGCGCTCTCCCCGCCACTATGGCAGCGCCAGGGCCGCCTTGGGCTACGGTGCAGAGTGCAGTCGTGGGCGCGAGGGGGGAGGAGGAAGGCACGAGAGCAGAGAAGGGGAAGGGACGGTGGAGCAGGGAGGAAAGACGGTCTTCGAGGTCTTCGGTGGCTCAAAAGCCAAAAGTTTCTGGACGTGTTCGGCGGTCCTCGGCGGTCTCCAGCTTCGTTCCGGAAGCTGCGCCTCGTCGAGGGCGTTCTGGGGGCGCACGGGTCGCCCCGAGCGGCCGCTGGACGAGCGAGGAGGAGGGGCGGGAAGGACGTCGGAACGGGGAGAGGGGAGGGAACGGTGACGCAGGGCGCAGGGGGGGGGGGTAATGAAGCAGGGCAGGAGCGTGGGGGGGGGGGGGGAGGCGGATGCTGAGCCTTGGGATCGTCGCATAGCTGTGGGAACTCCCAGCACGAAGCGTCCAGCCCGCCCTACCGATACGCCCAGTGGTGCGACGAGGAGCTAGGTCTGAGGAAGGGGGGCGGAGGGTAGCGGGTATGCAGAGAAAGAAGATGGAGGAAGGGGGGACGGAGGAGGACATGGGGGTGTTGGAAGAGGGGGAGGGAGGAAAGAGCAGGGAAGATGGATCATGGCGGATGAACGCTGGAGAAAGCAGGAAGGAGACGGAGGAAGGGCGGGAGAAAATAGTTGGTAATGATAACGAGGAGGACAAGGAGTTGAGAGAGGTGGAGCTGCGAGAAGCAGAAGCAGAAGCAGCAGCAGGAACAGGACTGGCAGCAGCAGTTTCAGTTCCGGCTCCGAGGAAGGCGCGGCGCAGGGTGCAAGCGTGGAAGAGCCTGGAGCAGCACTGGCCAATCGGCTCTCGGGCATTCTCCCTGCTGTCTGAGGGGAAGGGCGTCCTGCATCCACCTCTGCCCGCCTCCCCCCCCCTACCCCTCAACCCGCCCCTCCCCCCCCGCAGCTCCACCTCCTCTCACCCGCCCTCCTACCGTCGCCCTCCTCCCGCCCCTCCTCTGCCGAGAAGCTGGGGATGGCGGCCTCTCTCTCCCTCGCTGGCCCCTCCCGGCGGGGCACGCCGCCGAAGCCGAAGGGGCGGGCCGAACGGGGAGGGGCGCAGCAAGACGCAGCCTTGGTGGGGCTCGGGGGCGTTCCAGAGGGGGGCGTCCGAGAGGGGGTACACCCTGCGAAATGCTTTAGAAATCATGGGTTAAGAAATTGATAGTCTCAGAATTTAAATAAAAACCCAGAATGCACATTCAAATCTTAGGATTTACATTGAAACATTAAGAATAATCGAGACTCTGGCCGAAAACTTAGGTTTTCTTAAGCATCGCCTAAGGTGTACGTCATGGCCCGAGGCGTGTGCGCGGACGAGAAGGGAATCCGGGGACGCCTTGAACAAAGAGAAGGAGGTCATGACATCCAGGGCGCGCGATTGCCCTTGCCACGATACGTTCGGGAACTTCTGCTCAGCGTGTCGCCGCGGCGGCCTCGGCGACACGCCATGGCTACCCACCAGACCACCCCAACCCAACCCGAAGACCCGAATTTCGGGTTGGGGGGGGGGTATGGGTTCCATACGTGTTTTTTCGATGTTCCCCGAACCCCCCCCACTGGAAATGGAGGGCAAATTGAGGCCTTCGGGTTGGGTTGGGGTGGTTTGGCGGGTGGTGACGCCATGCCCTGCGAAAGGACAGCGTGCCGTTCCGCTCCGCGAGCCAGGAGGCTCGGGAACAGGCTCGGGACGCGGATGCCCGGGGACTGGGACGTGGATGGCGTGACGCGGCGAAGCGCGGCGGGCCAGAACCGGTAGAGCGACACGCGAAGCGACAGTCTCCCACCGTGCGTGCCTTCGCGCCCCCGCACACGACATCGGTGCATCCTGCTCCGCCCCTCCGCTCGGCGCGAGGGAAAAGGGTCCTGGGCCCCGGAGCTCTCCCCGCGGGGACCGGTGTTTCGTTCTGAGCCGTTTTTCGGTTGACGGTCCCAGGGAGGCCCGTGGAGGGCCCCGGCGACCACGGCGCGAAGTAGCTCCGGGACCCCCTTCCTCCGACGATCCCGCCCATTCATGCGAGGAAGACAGCTATCGTTCTGGGAAGAGGGGGTTGGGGAGATACAGGGCACGGCCGTGCCAGAAGCGCCTTCAACGCAATGACGCTGCAAGAATGACGATGTGATCATGTCTCCCCAGCCCCGACCCCCCAACCCGATAGCTGTCCTTCTTTTTTTTTCCACCGCACCCATTGGATGAAGGCTCGAACTCGAAATAGGCCAAATCTAAAAAAAACGCCGGCCGGGTTAACGTCACCCCAAACGGGCTCCGGTCAGATTCCCCCCCGGAGGCGACAAAGATGCACCACTGGAACTCCTAAAACACTTCGGTCAGGAACCCAACTCCTATCGAGCACAACCCGGAGCACAACCCTGAGCAGAACCCGATAGCTGTCCTTCTGATCATGGCGACCCTCGCAGGGCACCCCCCCCCGGCCTCTCCAGGGCTGCGCCCGGGCCAGAACTCCGAGAGGGGGGCCCCGCCGCGGCGGCCACGAGCCTCCCGGGAGAGGCCCCACCCTGCCTCGATGCCTCGGTGCCTCGATCTCCCCGCGGCGGCCCGCGCGGGCGCCCAGGGCCTGGCCGCTGCCGGCCAGGTGGTAGCAGCACCCAGCGGTGAACGTGCCTGAGCATCGTGCAACCGGGCCCCATCCCGTGGGCGTGGCCTGGGCGCCACGGGCCGACTTGCCCCCCCCCCAGGTGGGGACACGGGCCGGTTCCTTCGGGCTTCGAGGGGCAGATCCCCAGCTGGGCTGCTGAGGTGGTGGGAGTCTGGATGGGGCTGGGGATGGGCATAGGTGTCGGTTAGACGATACTGAGTGCCGCAGCAGCCGCCCAGGCAGGTGGCCGCCGCGCCCAGCGGCGCGGTGACCGCGGCGCCCATCTTTCGAAGGGGGGGGCTCTACCTGCGCGGGGCGGCGGGCCGGAGGGGGAGGGGGCGAGGCGGCAGGATGGGCGGGAGGAGCGCTCGAAGGGGCGAGGGGAGGCGGGCGAGGAGCAGGGAGCAGGAAGGGTCAGGAGGACGAGGACGGGCCCACCGTCGCGCGGAACCCCGAACTCGACACGCGAGACCCCGCCGCCCGACCTGCCGAACGAGGGCGAGGTTTGCCGCGAGAGGGGCGGCAGGGGCGGGGTGAAGTGCCTCCTCGGCAGTGGCGGCAGCACAAGTGGAACGATACTAGTGTGGGCGTGTGAGACGGTCAACCGTCGAATGCGCGCTCACCCGACTTGACGTTGCATATGGATGGCCGGTCGGTCGATCGCAAACTGACGTGCAGCGCCCCCTTCTCTACACTGTCTTCGAACGTAGTACCGATGCAGATTGACCCTGGGTCCACCTTGGACGTCACGACAACGCGTTGGAGCAAACCAATCAACAGTTCAATTAGCCAGGTCAGACCAGGGCTGGCAAAATCCCTGGGCCCGAGTCGGCACCGTTAGGAATACAGGGCGCTGGGCGAAGCTCGTCAGGCCGTGCCGAGTAAATAGAGCAGCCCAGTGCGCACACACACACACATGCAGGCCCGCACGCACGCACACACGAACGCACGCACGCACGCACGCACACACGCACACACACATACGCACACACATACTCACTTATTGTTCATCCAGCGGCCGAGTCACGCACACACATGCACACACATACACACGCACTTGTTTCTTCGGCGCGCCAGTGAGTCCAAACCGACTATGCGCAATTGGGGGTCACCCTCGAAGGAAATTAGCGTCCGTGTGAAGCGGCACGGCAGTTCTGCAAACGCCTAGTGACAACAAAACGTAGGCACCAAAACAGAAAACGATCGACCCACGAACCCGGAAAGGAATTTAGAAGCGCGAAGCATGGCTACGTTCTCAAGACACCTGCTTGGGCGACAACCAATTGCAATGCTGAAGGTATCGATCGTGATGTACCGTGCCAAAAGTTGTGCTGTGCTGTTCTGAAACGAGATGTCTCATGCCGCTATGAAATGCGTTGTGCTCTATAGCTGTGGCTCAAGTCGCCCTTGGCATCCGAACCCTGACTGATTTGATCTGGATCTTAAGCTCGAACTGCCTGAACGCATAGCTCGCCCAGAACTGGTTGTTTCGAAACGTGTTGGACGCTCGATCAGCTCGAGCTCAAGGCTCAAGATCCGACTCAATTCCGAAGTGGGACGAGACGACACGGGGTGCAAGGCACATGGACGCGCCACGGTATGTGCCAGGGGCGCACTAGGGGATGCGCCAAGGGACGTGTCAGGGGACGTGGCAAGGGACGCGCCACGGAACGGGCAGGGAAAGCGCCAAGGGAAAAGCCAGGGAACGCGACAGGACGAGCCAGGGGACGCGCCGAGGGGGGAGTGGCATACGCCGTCCCGCTCGGGGGCGTTAGGAACCCATGTTGTTTCACGCTTGTCCCGCTCTGGGGTGTTAGGAGCCCGTACGGTTTTTCACGTGTCCAGGCCACCCAGGAACGGATATGGAACCTGTGGTCGTGAAAACACGAAGTTCCAGCTCGGGGCAACCATGTGAGATACCCCCCTGGGCGGCCTGGGCACGTAAAAACAGGGCTCCAGCTCGGGACCACCATGTTAGAACCCCCCTGGGTGGTCTGGACACGTGAAAATTACGTGGTTCCAGCTCGGGTAAGCCAGGTCAGATACCCCTGTGGGTGGCCTGGGCAAGTGAAAACACGTGGTTCCAGCTCGGGGCAGCCATGTTCGATACCTCTCTGGGTGGCCTGGACACATGGCAACACGTGGTCCCAGCGAGGGGCAAGAGGCAACCATCTCAGATCCCCCCCCAAGGGCGGCCTGGACACGTCAAACACGTCGTGCCAGTTCGGGACCACCATCGTAAATACCCCGTGGGTGGCATGGACACGTAAAAACGAGTGGTTCCTGCTCGAGCCCACCATGTTAGATATCCCCACTGGGTGGCTGGACACGTGAAAAAAAAGGCTCAAGTTCGGGACATACATGCTAGATACTCCTCTGGGTGGCCTGGGCACATTAACAGAACAAATAAAGAAATAAAAAACGGGTTCCAGCTTGGGGCAACAATGTTAGATACCTCTCTGGGTGGCCTGGACACGTGAACACAAGTGGTTCCCACTCAGGACCACCATGTCAGAGATCCCTGGGGGGAAATCTGACAACTCATCAACCGAAGAAACTGCGTCACCTTTACACGTCCGGTGTCGTGTTGCTCCTCTTGTCTGGCTCTTATGGGCCCCGCCCCACGCGGGGGGGACCCAGACGGCCACATTTTAAAATACCCTCCGCGGGTGGCCCGCACATGTGAAAACACGTGGTTCCAGCTCGTGGCAACCATGTCAGATACCCCTCTGGGTGGCCTGGACGCGTGAAAAAACATGGCTCCAGCTCGGGACAACCATGTTGGATACCCCTCTGGGTGGCCTGCACACGTACAAGTGGTTCCAGCGCGGGACCACCATGTTAGATGTCCCCCTGGGTGGCCTGGGCACGGGAAAACACGTGGTTCCATCTAGGGCCAACCATGTTGGATACCCCCCTGGGCGATCAGGCTTCTCGCCTGAGACATCCTCTGAATTCTGGCCCCCTGGAGAGGAGCAGTCTATAAGACAAAACAAGCGTTTCTCTCGAAACATGCTCAACAAGCTCTGCAAAACAAGCGTTTCGCTCAAGACTTCAACTATCAAAGAACATGCGGACTTCACCATATGTTTCTCGATCCAAATTTCAAACACCAGCGTTTCGCTCGGGACATCCTCAGAACTAACTCTGCCGGCCCACCCTTTCCTCGTTGTCCGCCGACACCAGGGGCGTGTGCGGGAAAGTGCGCGTTCGATCCCCGCCTAACGAGAACTGCATCCCCATCCCACCCCACGCCGCTCCTTCCCGCCCTCGGCCCCGCCCTGGCATCACCACTGCTGAGAACCTCTGTTCTTACGACCCCCCAGTTGACAATTTCTCCGCCCAACCGTCCCCCCCGCTCTCGGCCTCGCCCTAGCACCCCCACCGCTCAGAACCTCTGTTCTCGGGAGCCCCCACTCGAAAATTTGTCCGCCCCGCTGCCCTCCCCGCAATCGACCTCGCCCTGGCATCCCCACCGCTACGAACCACGACCCCCGCCGCGCCCTGGCATCTTCCCCGCCCTGAACCTCTGTTCTTGGCGCCCCCCACACGACAGTTCCTGGCCTGGAATCGACCCCGACCCCCCACCGTGCCCCGACATCTCCCCGCCCTGAACCTCTGTTCTTGCCGCCCCCGACAGGCTGACGTTCTTCGTCCGTTCTGCTGGCAACGTGCGGCCTTTGCAACACTCTGTCTTTCCTCCATGGCCTCTCTGGCACTTCCGAAGGCGCGCGTTCGTGTGGGGGGCGACGGTGGCGCTGGAAACGCCAGCGTCCGAAAGTATCCCAGGAAGGAGCGCGAACCTACTACCATAGCCGTCCGCCACAAGAGACCCTTCGGAGCGCCGCTCCTCGGCACCGTGTCTTCCGATACCTCGCAGCGAACAAACATGCGACGGACTCTGCGCGGAAGTCCTCTTTGGGGTCGGCGGCAGAGGCGACAGCCTTCAAATTTGTTGAAGAAACGCTCCGCGGGCCCACCCCCAGCATGGCACCAGGGACAGACGACCATCCTAACAGACAACCCTGGGTTGGAGCCATTTCCGGGCAGCTAAGCGGTGCAGAAAAAGGTGGGCGCAGAAAGGCAAACGCCAAGAGCTGCCCCACCCCACGCACACACACAAACATACACACATGCACGCAGCACACACACGTGCACACGCACAGACACAGACACACACAGACACAGACACAGACACAGACACAGACACAGACACAGACACAGACACAGACACAGACACACACACACACACACACACACACACACACACACACGCGCACACACACACACACACGCGCGCGCGCACACGCACACGCACGCACGCACGCACGCAAGCACGCACGCACGCGAACACACACACACACACACACACACACACACACACACACACACACACACACACACACACACACACACACACACACACACACACACACACACACGCACACAAACACACACACACACACACACACATGCACACGCACACGCACACGCTCACACACGCGCGCGCGCACACATTACTCGGCAGCGTCGGGCGCGGCGATGACGCGGTGCCTGACGGCCTGCTAACCACTGGCAGCGTGTGATGGCGGACATGGAGAGGCAGCAAGAACACAACAGAGCCCCCCAATGCCCACGCGCGCACAGGATGCATGACCTTGGCTCCGAGAACGGCGGGCCGCCACCCGGGCGCCAGCTCGGGTTCTGACGGCCGCGGCCCGCCACGACGGAGTGGCCGAGGCCACGGCATCGCCGACTGGAGTCTAGTTGGTCCCCAGACCACAGACCTCTCCTGGGGTCGCCTCGAATCACTCATTCCGCCTATCACCCGGGAGCCGATGGAGATCCGCGTGCCACAGCGACCCTCTGAGATGCGGGACAAGGAACGGATGTGCCTGAAGCCGAAGAGAAGGAAGAGGTTACGGTCAGGAAACCTTTAGATAGCGTGCCGCGGCGGCGGCCCAGGCGACACGCTATGCCCTGCGAGCGCATAGCGTGTCGCTCCGCTCCGCGGGGCGGGGGGCTCGGGAAAGCTCGGGGCGCTGACGCGTGGGAATGAGAACGCAGATAGCGTGTCGCGCCGAAGCGTGGTGGGCCCGAACGGGCGAAGCAACGTGCTATCCAAGAGATCCCGACCGCAGGTGGCAGCCGAACAGAAGGATCAGCGTGGGGGTGTCCTGAGGGAGTCGGGTCCTGGGCCCCCCGGGGCCTTCCCCCGGGGCGAGCTCTTCATCCTGAGTCGTTTTGTGACGGTCTGGGGGCCCATGGAGGGCCGATAGCCCGA